ACAGCAAAAACACGTAGCCGTCATCAATCTCAGTACGATGTTTTGTAAAAAATTCGTAGTCGCGACTACGATGTCTTTTTAAGCAAAGAAAGTACGCATATTTCTTCATTCTGTAAAAAATTAGTTTACAGTACTATTTTCGAGCATCCAGGCTTTAATTTAGAACCTTTTTTGAGCGCAGATGTACATTAAAAAGGAAAATATGACCTGCAAAACTATCATGTATTTCGTACGCAAAGTGTAAGGTAAACAAACAATAAAATAGTACAAATATATCGTACATAAAACTTAAAATAGTGAAGATTTTTCAGTCTAAAGAGTCCTATATTCTCGCAAAACCAGTATTACCGATTCGTTTATATCATTATTGACAAATAGAGCCGTAGCTGCTTCGCAAACGTCGGTGTCTTACACAATAAAAGGCTCGTTCTGTTGTTTACAACTAAAGCAAAATTTTGACGAAGCGATAACGATAACAAACTTCCTTGTGCTATTCTCTTACAGGGTCAAAATCGTACTCGTTGTCGTAGTCATACTCTTGCTAAAGCTCCCTAATTTAGTTTTAGTTGTAAACAACAGAACGAGACTTTTTATTGTGTAAAAAACCGAAGTTTGCGAAGCAGCTACGGCACTATTTGTCAATAATGATATCAACGAATTGGTAATACTGATTTTGCGAGAATATAGGACTCTATAGACTGAAAAATCTTCACTATTTAAGTTTTATGTACGATGTATTTGTACTATTTTATTGTTTGTTTACCTTTCACATTGCGTACGAAATACATGAAAGTTTTGCAGGTCATATTTTCCTTTTTAATGTACATCTGCGCTAAAAAAAGGTTCTACATTAAAGCCTGGATGCTCTAAAATAGTACTGTAAACTAATTTCTTACAGAATGAAGAAATATCCCTACTTTCTTTGCTTAAAAAGACATCGTAGTCGCGACTGCGAATTTTTTGCAAAACATCGTACTCAGATTGATGACGGCTACAGGTTGTTGTTGTCGCAACAATGCTTTCGCGCCAAAAATGACGTAAATCGTACTCGTAGTCGTTCTCGTAGTCTTTGCTAAAGCTCCCTTTTGTTAAGATGATGACTACGAGTAGGAGAACAGCTAACTCAACTTTATTGGTTAATTTCTTGTAAAAATGTTCAGTAATAAATACATTTCTTAAGCATTCTTTACTCAAAACTGTGTAAGCGTAGAAAACCATGTTGTTTACGAAGTAAAAAGGCAAACGTCTCTGGCAAGTATGCTTTTCGTATTCGCATTACCATCATACAATATGCCGATTCCCAGTCAATGTTGTGCTTTGTGATTTGGTGATGTTCGGCAATGTGATTAGTTTTGCCTTGTTTCTTAGTAGCTCGTTGTGTTCAGTAAGTCTTATGTTGAAGTTCCTGCCAGTTTCCAATATAGTCAACAACAACAAAAACAGTTCTTCTCAGGACTATACCAACCTGGACGATCTACATTTACAAACATATAATTATAATCCATAATTATTATATAAATGGTAATTCGGGTATAATTGTAAATAAAAGTTTCTCTGGATTTTATAAATAATTTATTGAGCTTTCGAAATCATTTATAAAATCAGGAGAAACTTTTATTTCTCTACATATATGCATATATAGAAAAGCAAAGCTCACCTTTATAGGTTTGAGCACTCTAGTGACTTTACAAAATAATCCATACAATGTGTAACTGCACATCCTGTGTCCTAATTGCAGGAGTCACCATTTATCTATGGTGATAGCAGGGAGGGCACATTGTAATACACTTTGTATACATACATATATGTCCAAAAATGAAAGTTTCTCCGGATTGTTGTAAAATTATTTTATTGAGCTGTCGACTCGGTGCTTCGAGCCTTCATCGGAATTATACAGGAAGTTATTTACAACTGTCTTTAATTTATATACGTTTAGAGCATCTAATTGGATTAGCGCGTGGATTTAATATGATTGGATGGTGTGAAATGCGTTGCGATGGGTTCTGGTGTATTGTGAATATGATGGGTGTTAATATTAATAGAGTGTAATGTTGTAGTTTTGAAGTTTTATGTAGTTTTTTGTCCTTTTTCTCCAGTTGTGAATATATGATTGGTATGTCAATATGTCTGTTTATTGTGTCATTGTCTTTACTGTACTCATGAAAACGCATTCCACACCTACCAATCATATTAATCAACCCGCTAATCCAATTAGACGCTTTAAACTTCTACTATTTAAAAACAGTTGTAAATAACAACCTACATGTATAGTTCTGATGAAGGCTCGAAGCACCGTGTTGAAAGCTCAATAAAATAATTTTACAACAATCCGGAGAAACTTTCATTTTTATACATTAAATGCCTGGATTACCAATTTTCAAGTTTTCCACTATCCACCTTTCTGGCAGAAGCCGACATGCAACACCTTCAAACACAATCAGTCACAAACAACACAAACATCAGACTATGAAAAAGATATGTCGACGAAATCTTTGCCATATTCAAGAAAGACAAAACCGAACAAATCCTACACACTATAAACAATACCACAAAGAACATAACTTTCACTAAAGACGAAGCGCAGGACAATCAACTCCTTTTCCTCGACATCCTACTGACCAGAACAGATGATGGTACTCTACACACCCAAGTATACCGCAAAACTACCTACACAACCGAATACACGATTTCAACAGCAATCATTCAACGCAACACAAAATAAGCTGCATACAAACACTTTTTAACAGAAACAACACCCATTGTAACACCGAAGAAGCCAAGAAAGCAGAACGCAACTAATTATACTCCACATTTATAAAAAACAATTACCCTAGAAACTTTATGAACAGAACTATAAACAGAATACAAAACAAAACACAAACCGACAAAAGCAACAAGAAATCCGACGAAACAGTAGAAATCGTGGCATTACCATACATAAACGGAAGATCAGAAATGACCGCCAGACTTCTTTGACCATTCACTATTAACGTTGCCCACAAACCTACACAAAAACTCAAATCATATTTCACCACGCATAAAGACAAAACAACAATTCATGATACAACTGACGCGATCTACATGATACCATGTAAAGACAGTTCAAAGCAATACATAGGACAAACATCAAACAAAATTGAAACAAGACTCACAGAACACAAAAACGCCATAAAACGACGAGATCCGAATTCACTACTGGCAGAACATACTCACGGAAACAACCACACATTCGACTGGACAGAAACTAAAGTACTTGGACGCGCACAGACTAAGCACGCACGCGAATTTAAAGAAGCTTGATACAGTAAGGAATGAGTGCTTTTTGTACGGAGGAACCAAAAAATATAAAGCGGATACTTCATTGCACTTGGAACAGACTACAGTAGACATTTAAATAAAGAACTGCTGGTAAGATTTGCCAAATTCAACAAATCTTGGGCTTTGTTTATCTGGCTCTACCTTCAACAAAATAGTTTCTTCTTGATTATCCAAAAGAATTTTTTCCTTTTGCACATAACATTTTTTCATTTTTTTGTAATCTTTGCAAGCCATAATCTTTTAAGAAAAGTCTTAACTTCATTTCATAAGATCCTCACCACCCAAAAGAAAATCAAGCAATTAAGGAACGAATTTGAAAAAAAGAATAGATTGCACCAAACGGTCACTCCCATTAAATATTTACAAAAATCAACTGGTTTAAATACCAGGACAATAATCGGAGAAGAGAAGCCTATCACTGAAAAAATAACTACCAAGCGACACGAGTTTGCTAATTTTATGTTGTGTAATAAATTCTTACGGGCACATGCTTCTACTTGCAATGAATAGATTTGAATGAGTTCAAGAGCGACTATCAATGATTTTTCCTTTACACAATCAATCCACTTGCTTGCTTCTTCCGCTTCAACTGCAGCAGGGTTTATTTCGTATACGAATTTTTTATGGATCTGTTTCCCGTTGCTTCATAATTTCTTCTCACCAGATGAGCTTTTGCTTAAACGTTTATTTAGTATGAACTTTTGGGACCTACTTTCTAGATGAGTTAAACCTTTACTCATCTGATTCATTTTGGATGTTAAATTTTGACATTTAAGCTTTGCACTATCCCTCGAGGGCATGGTTTTCTTGCAACAAAATAAATCTTAGCATACACAAAAACAGTTCCAAAAAAATGCGCGAGAGAAACATAGGCAAAGAAATTTTGCAATAGTGAAATTGATTCAATTAAACTTGCCACTGAACATATTAACAAAGAAAAAAACAACCAGTAACTACAAATGTCTTCAATTTTGTTTTTGTAACGTTTCTTCTATGGTACATTGGGTATACGATGCCCAAAAATCTTTCTATATTCATGCAGGACAAAACGGTTACGGATGAGCCAATAAACATATAGTGGGAAACTCTTTGTACGTGGAACACACTACAGTCGACATCTAGAATGAAAATTGCTGGTAAGATTTGCCAAGAAGTTAGTATTACAGTTGATGTTCCAAAAATGAGGTCCACAATAGATTGGAGGAATATAAGAGAATAACATAGAGAATTTCTCAAACGCTTTGACAATAAAAATGTCAAGATAGCTGTAAGATTCAGGTAAACTGTTAACAACACAACTAAGATTAGTGCCACAAAGACAACAATATAACTTGTATGCAATCCAACGTGGGAAACGCCAAAACGAAGTGGATATGCAGCATTCAGCATATGGCATATGTGAGTGAAATTATTATTCATTGTGGTAAGTTATAAACAGATCAATATTTCACACAGATTTCCACAAAATAAGCTTTTGCAGAATTACAGTACCCGTTTAGTAAATCGACGACAAAGCTTTGAGACTCAATTTAATTCTTTCATGCGTTTATAAAAAAAGCTCAACATCCTTGTTTTATCTAGTCGGAGTCAAATAACAACGAGCGAATGAGTTTAATTGACATGAGATCAGAATTTCAGTCGCTTTACAATCTACATCATACTGCATTGAGTAAAAATAATGATTTGTTTTTAACGATTTAATTGGGCTATATACATATTTTTGCCAGATGATTTATAATCAGCATAATTGTCAGCTTCATACTCAAAACAGTAATAATGAGCTCAGATACTAACGGTTTCCAAAAATGAGCAAACATGATATTAAAACCATATCTTTGTTCTGTTCACATAAAATTCATAAGAAGCATAATATCTACTTTACCAAAAAAATCTATACACAAAACATAAAGAAATCGCAGCAAAAATTACTTTGCATACAATATACTTTGCTAAATTCATGGCTTCCTCTGTTGCAACTTTACTTTAATCTTAGAAATTAACATTAGAGAGATTTAGCAAATACGACGTATCGACGTAATGAGAGTAAATATTGCTAGTTATTGACCGTATATTTCTTAAAGAAGCAGTTGTTTTCTGTACTGATCAGGTTAGCATTCATGGAAGCATTTTTGAGGCAAAACTTGTCTTGCATTCGATGGACAATAAAGTTTTGTTAACATAACTTGCATAATTGTGGCGCTCATGAATTACGTCAGGCTTTTTGCGATCAGATGGAAGTATTTCTTGATCATTTCATCGAGTATTGCATCCTGTAAAAAATTAGTTATTAGAATTGTGGGCTTATGAACTAATGGTTTCTCATGGTAATGGGTGTTCTAACTTTTCATTCATAACCCGTAATGGCTAAGTACAATTTCCATCAAAGTTTTGTTTAAAATTGTTTATCAGACGACGCTTTCATTAAACATAAAATAAAACATAATGCCCAACAAAAATTTTGGTTTACAACCACTTGGCTATACAACAAGACAACTGCGTGTTAAAGCTTTTGCGTTTGTTTACATTACATACGTCAAGTGTCGGCACATGCGGTTTTAGTGCAAAAAGGCATAATTACCTGGTTAAACCTGCATGACGGGTCCATCTTTCTTGGCATTCAGCTCAATCCCTGAGCCTGCAAAACCAGTTCCACCTCGTTGTATTGGGATTATATCGCTATCCTTAAGTTTGTCACCAGTAAAAGGACAAAGCATGTCTTTTTTTATTAATCTTTCAACGCAATCCATCGTGACCACGTGACCCGTGTTCCTCAACACAGCACACGGGACGGAGTTACCAAGAGCATCATGGGTAACGGCGCATTTGTAACGAACTTCGCGGGTTATTAAAGACTTTTCCTCACCAGCAACTGAAGTAAATTTGACTGGAGTGAGGTCTTTGGATTTTAATGGCTGACCAGACATTGGGCATTTTGTTTTCAAATCTGGTTTCTTTGCCACATCTGGTTTTGCCTCAGGTGTCAAGGAAGGAATCCAAAAACTTGGTAATTCTTTGCTGCCTGTTGTTAAAACAAAAGATGTGTAAATTGAAGTATTTTAACATGACAATCATTCTGAGGGGTTTAAAATGTCCAACATCGCCGGCAGTGCTAATACAAGGGAATTTTTTACAAAACTACTCGCAAGAAAGAATTTTGTATAAGGCAGGAAGGTTTTTGAGCATTTAGATAACAGGTGAATCAAAACGTATGTCAAATTACTTATTTACTTGTAACGTGAATTCTGTAAATAAACAATAAAATTGTTTAGAATACACAGGCACGTTATCACAAAAAGTGATGTACGAAATCTTTTTTTTGATAATTATTGACGAAACAGCTCAACATGAAACTTTTCGCTTCGGCATGAAATTTCGAAATTTCCATTTTTAAAACTTAAAATAAGGATGTAAGCAGTTTATATTTACCGTAATGTGGATATCTATTAAACCAATAGATATCAACAGGTTCATCTTTCATAGATGTGAGCAAACACTAATCACGTGACGTGGGACAACAGTTTGACAGACGTAAAATTAATATAAAATTGTTGTGTATGTAATGCAAGGTCTTTCGTCAAGAATATACAATCTTTTCATGGTGAAAACTAACGGCTTGTACTGCGCAATTTTCGAAGCCAAATTGCTAGAGCGTAAGAAAATAAGGGGCTGATTTTCTAGGGGTGGTGCGGGGTGCGCACTTCCTTAAATCGTCTAGCGCCCACAAGAAACATTCGTACTGCAGACTAATATTGTAATAGTATTAAAGGAACTGATAATTTTAAAGGTAATTACATGTTTTATACTATCAGTATCCTGAGGTCTTGGTGCCTAAGACTATCCCCCCCTCCTCCTACACACACTTGGAAAATCTTCTCTTCTGTCAAATGCGCATTAATCCGCTCGTGGAGAAAATGCGAAGTGGAAATTAAAACAAAACACAACGCGTTAACATTAGTAAATTTTTAGAAACAATGTGTAAGTATATATGACCCAAACTTTATCTTTTTACTTTTAATTTGCATATGTACAGTTTAGACTACTTTGACAAGGCTATGATTTCTTTGTTGTTGTACCACAACATTATTTATTATTATTATGATCATTATTTCAATATTATTTTGACACATCAAAATCTTCAGTAATAATTATGCATGAATTAAAAACATTAATATTAAACTAACTACATATATAGCCACATGAAAAAGACTAGTATAATTACAATATTAAAAAAGCATTTACTGGTTTACAAGTGTGGGAGTTTTTATGTATTATAAAATTCATTTACAGCTTGAAAAGATTAAAACCTTCGAATATTTTCAGGGAGGCTATTTCAAAGCTAGGCTCCACGGTAATGAAAGCTTTGTTTTAGGTATTTTGTATGAAGCTTTGGTGAATTCAGCTTCATTTCAGAGTTTCTAAGATCGTATTGTGTGCTAAGCATCTAGGGGAAACTCAGTACATAATCTGGAGTAAATTCTTAATTTTTTCCATCTTCTAAGTGTGAGGTTATCTATTGGTACGAAGTTGAGCAATGCAACCCCATTTGTATCATACCAGCTCTCACTATATCTTAAATTGCTTGGTTCTGTAGTTTTTGTAATATTGTGATTAGCATTTCATCAAGCCCAACCCAAACCGAGCAGCAATAATCAGCAGGAGGTTGGATTTGTGTATGATAAATTTGGATAGCAGTACTCATTGCAATGTACGCCATCATAGGTTTTAATGTTCCTATGGTTATATAAGACTATCATGTCAAGGGAGAAAGCTCTTGGGATAAGCATTTGAACAGGAAAATTGCTGATTGCTAAAGCCTATTATTTGTGAACTGACCATTGTAACTAATCAACCGATAAATCAGATTTCCCATTAATCTACTGATTAACAAGCTCGTCCTTACTCTTTAGCTCGGTCTTTAGCCTTATCTACTATTTATTAACTTAATGTTCAAACATTCCAAATTTATAGTTTTCTAAAAGAATCCTACCTTTCTTATCTGTCACTGACTTCGAAGGACTGCTTCCTTTACTTGAGTTGAAAGCATCGTGTTTTTCAGTCGCAAGTCGTTTCTCCAACTTCTCAAAATTTTCAACTTTTTTCTTTTCCATTGTCAAAGCAATATCTCGTTTCTCTTGTTCATCTTTTCGCTTTTGCCTCTCGTAGACCTTCATTTTGCGAGCAATTTCTTTCTTTTGATGCAAGAGAGACTCTAAGATAGCTTCTTTATCGTAGAGAAATCCATCGGGAGTTATGACTGGATCTCTACATGGTTGCAATGTCAAAGAACAACAGTCAAAATCTTTTACTGAATCCTTCCCGAGACGAAGATTTTTACTGCCAAATCCGGATTGTTCGGCGTCTTTTTTTCGTTCATGGTACGTGTATACCGCCCCAGCTGTACAGTTCTTTCCATGGCGAGTCATTTCAAAACTCTTTAATGTGATTTATAGTTCAATTTTAGACAAAATTTACGACGATTATTGCTCCTTCTGTAAAATTTTGAAACGCAAACTGGATGTGTTTCCAGTTTTTATACTAAGCTTCATTATAATTTTCCTTTCTTCCAATCTGCGAAAGTCACCAATTATAAAAAAAATAGTATTTCACAAAAACCTTGTCTTCTACTCACTTAGACACACAGAATCCATCGAAAAACTTTGAAAAAGACTATCTTCCGCGAAGAAAAATTTTCAGTTGTTAGCCTTCAGCGAGTAGTCATTGGGTGAGGTGTGGGTCAGGCAGATCTGCTCAGAAGTTAAACTAGTTCGACAATTTGCAAATTGAAAGAGTGTTCTCTGGTGTTGGTCTTGTTGGAGTAGTATAACTTGATATGGCCTTAAGCGCGACAAAGCTATTGCGCTCCAATTTATTTTCCAGCGCCAAACTCGTGGGAACCCTTTCATTACACAGCAAATATCTTAATACAGGTAATATCGTTAGCTAAATACTGAATTAAGTTCTTCTGAACTTAACAGGACAGTAAAACTCGTTTATGCCATGGATGTCATTCGGTTTGTCAACACCTGCCTGAACATTATACATTACTAGAAATCTCATCTTTTAAATTAAGTCATTGTTTTTAGGATCCTATATGTAGAATCTTGTGGGACCTTATTATGGTGTCCCTAGGGACTGTCTAATTGTAATTTTTCACTATTAAGCGTTGTATGTTTAGCTGTGGTTTGGACTTTCAAATAGTGCAAAGAGACAGAAAATAGTGCAAAAAGTTCTTACTCTATTTCCTGTCGGGCTTTATGTAATTATATGTACATGTTAGTCAACAAGAAGTGATGACTTTTTAAAATGTTTTATTGTAGCAAATGTTCTAGACATGTGATGCAAATATCAAAACTTAAACTTTAATATTGATTTTTTTTTGAGATGAAAAGTTAACACAAAAGTTTACACAAAAAGTCAACAAGAATGACGTAGTTAATGTGCCGGCTTTGCCACTATTTAGGCGATTCTTACAACTTTATCAAAGTGGAAAAGAAAGGGGCAAAGAACAATGTTGCTTTGATATATTTAAATCGACCTGATGCACTCAATGCTCTAAATGATGGCATCATTAGTGATTTGACCATAGCATTAGATGATGCTCAAAAAGATGATGACATCGGAGCAATTATTATTACAGGCAGTGGCCGAGCTTTTGCTGGTATGTAAATATTGCATTATAATGAGCTGGGAGCCAGAGGGAAAATGCTAGCTGAATAAAATAAATTTGTATAGCATTAACGTCACTGTATTCTGTAGTCCATCTATTTTATAAAGGTGCATAACCATCTACTTGATTGTTTTATGATATGTCTCTGAATGAGCTATTGACATGTTGAAACTTGTAGGCATGAAAAGCCCATGAAAATATTTTTTTCTATTAAATATTTTGCAAATGTTCCAGAAATTGATTTAACTATCTAAAGCAGTTATTGCCATGACCCTGATATAGGAACTTTATTCAAGAGTGAATTATTTAGAAATGTCAAATTATCATTATCAACTATTTGTCCGAAGTCAAGAATGTTTGTGAAGATGATATGAAGCCACTGCACCCCCCACTCTTTGTCTACCCTTAGAAACATTCCTCACAAAAATTCTGCAGTGTTATATATAGGGAGGGAGTCAAATTTTAAAAAAGTTTAGTCCTGGCTTGTGGTGATTGTAATTTGTATAGCTGGTGCAGATATCAAAGAAATGGAAAATAAAACATTTCAAGAATGCATGAAGTCAGGATTTCTTGACCATTGGAACAGCGTAGCTAAATGTACGAAACCAACTATTGCAGCTGTGAATGGATTTGCAGTAAGTAATGAACTCTTTACTTGTTCAAATGATTGGAATGAAGCATCAAGTACTTGCGATCAAACCTTTCTATCATGGCTTAATCTTTTCACTTGTTTAATGTTGCAGCTTGGAGGTGGCTGTGAGTTGGCCATGATGTGTGACATTATTCTTGCCAGTGATAAGGCAAAGTTTGGGCAGCCAGAGATTAAACTAGGAACAATACCAGGTAAACTAATACCACAAGGATTCTACATTCTCTAACTTACATGTTATTGAGAAATGTACTGGAAGACTAACATCAGAAGTCTTCGTCTTTCTGATACATATGTACATATTTTTACTGGAGAATGCACCTCATTAGCTTAGGGCATTAGTGAGGTTGTCGTGGTTGTTTTACAAAACTAAACTTTGGGAAGTTTATTACAAGTTGGTCTTCATAACTTATAAGAAATTTGCAATGAAATAAAAATACAAAATCTGAAAGATGTATCATAAGCAAAGAGTATCTCCTAACCCCACCCCCTCCCATGTAAGGCAACTCTCACCTTCAAATTTAACACCAGATACAATATCAAGTCTAATATACAAATCGAGGTTGCTTAATCTTAGGCAAATAAGGCAGGGGGCTACAACCCCTCTGAAATGTTAAGCAGACAAGGGTTGTCTGGCTTTATTTGCTGGAAAGTTTTGTGAATTAGGTCTTTTAAGATTGAAATTGTACCAAAAATCCCTTCAACAAATGTACCAGCCACCCCTTAAAAGATGTTCCGAGCACCTCCTGAAAAATTTTGGCCTGTAAACCCCTTAAAATTGTTGACCCATACACCCAATTCTCATGTTTTATTGGATTTCATTTAAGTTGACATGTTGTAGGTGCTGGTGGTACGCAGCGATTAACTAGAGTTGTTGGCAAGTCTTTAGCAATGGAGATGGTTTTAACTGGTGATCATATATCAGCCAATGAAGCATTGGCAGCTGGGCTGGCCAGTAAGGTGTATCCTGCGGATGATTTACTGAACAAGGCTATCAAAACTGCTGAAAATATTGCATCAAAATCAAAATTGATAGTTGCTATGGCAAAAGATGCAGTAAATACAGGTAACACTGTGAACAAGAAAGGTTTGCTCTGTTGAATTTGATCTAATTGGAGCTCCCCATCATTTTAGTTCAAAGAAAGGTTGTACCCAGCTGTACCATACGGAATTTCATATTGCCATTTGTTATACATAACTACCTGGAAAATTTCTACATTTTCAGCAGTTAGTTTTGTGTACGTAACTCTGAATCAACCTCTTTTTTTAGCCTATGAAACAACATTAGCCGAAGGAATAAAGTTCGAGAAAAAAATATTTTATGCAACATTTGCCACCGTAAGTGTTTTTGTATATTGCTTGGCATTTTTCGTGCAATGTGCAGCATTACTATAAAATTGGAACACTTGACTATTTTTTAGGATGATCGCAAAGAAGGAATGACGGCTTTTGTGAACAAACGTGAAGCAGAATTCAAAGATCAATAGGGGTTAAACTCGACGAACAACTAATTGCAGTACCGTTTGTGGCACAACTAGGAATAACAACAATCGCAATCGCGTTTTACTACCCAATTAAATATATTCTACGCATTTTGGTGGCCACGTAATATTTTAATAAAACGACCAAACTATTCGACACTGTTTTGCTTTTCTTGCGTTTGGTTATTAGAAACTGGTGAACTGGATGCTCTAATGTGGCTTTACTCTTCCAAAATGGGGGAAATTGCCCGCCCACGCTCGCATTTGCGATCAAAGGATTTGCCAGTTCGTCGAATTGTATAGACCTGCTGCCTGCTAGCGAGATAGACAATATACAACAAAAGGTACGAGACGATTTCAAATTCAACAACTATTTAACAATGTATCAAAACAAAACGTTATATTTCATCAAAGTCATTACACAAATACAGTAGAGTTGAAAGTGCTAAGTAACATAATCGTTGGAGAAAATACTCAATGAAAAAAACACTCAAACAATAATTGCCTTTTTTTCCTTTTCATGCAATTTTCAAACCAGCAATAGCCGATTCCAATCCCTAAAACAAAAAAAAAAGGATGGTGATAAAGAAATTTTACAGTGAGCCAGAGTGGAACAGCGCACAAAAATTTCTTATTTGAAGATTGAAAAAATGATTTGATGACAGAAAGCGTCATTTTAACTCTTTCAACTTTTTTTGTTGTACCGTTAGCACATACAAACAATTAAAAATCAATAAAACTTTAAATGCTGCTTTATGTAACATGTTACGGGTAACCCCAGTACCAGCGATTGTATAACACCAATGCAAGTCTTTATACGCCCATAGAGGAGGAAAGTGCAATCTTAATGCCGTGAGAATTCTACTAAATGTTTTTGAAAGATAATCTGTCATAAAACATGTGTAGTGTTTTTGAGGGGGCAGGGTGGTGGCTGCTCCATAAAACATGGCGGGTCTGATAAAATAACTTCAGTGCTTATCGTAAAATTAATAATAGCAATTAGCGACGAAGACACAAAGCAAGACCAACTGAAATCATGTCACGTACCTTTACATCCCAGATGACAAAGCGGCCGTCAATACCAACGGAAGCAAACTTACTAACGCTTTTCTTATTGCCTGAGTGAATGGCAATTTGGCTAAATGCAATCGATTAATAACGTGTTAGCTATATTGCAATAGAATTTAGACCTAATATATGAAACATACTGCAAGCACCAGCTTCATAGATCAAATTAGGATTGTATGAAAAGAGAGACTCAACTTTTAAAGCAATTTGAAAGTTTTTATAAAGCTCAGTAAAAAAGAAAGTAGGTTTATTGCTTTAAATTTTTCATTAATTAAATCTTTGGATTAAAAGACTACGTGTTCATACCAGGGCTCGTAGAATGCAAAAAAGTAATCAATTTCAAGCATTTCCCCAGAACATATTTTGAAAACAAACTAAGGGCGAGGAAGACCTTGAAATGCGCACAAACCAAAACTTCAGAAATCATTAAAAACATCAAAATCAAAACAAAAAAAACTTCTTCTAATGAGTCATGAGCAAATGGTTCGTTTTCATACGACTTGAAAGCTACCATGTTGTTGGGTTACTTCAACGTATTGACATTAACCATTTAGCACAAGAGTTACTTTTTCGTGCAATAAAAGCTTAAGAAACTGTAGCTACAATTTCAACTCCGCTTTTTAAAAGAAACTAGTACGATGATACGTTTACAAAATTTGATGGAAAAAATTTGCATTCAAGCACTTTCAGGAACATGTTAATCGTACTTTTCAGGGGCCTTGAATTTTTGAACTTAAATTCAATGACATTAAAGTTTGTACGAACTCAGTCATGTTCGTAAACACTAAACATTTAAAAACAGGGCATAGACAGACCTTAAAGGCCCGTTCACACGATCCGATTCGTTGGATCCGATTTTTTCGGATCCTAAATAACGGATAGTGTGAACACATATAAAGTTAGCCTACAACAGTCGGATCCGTCAATCTAAAGTCGGATGGAAATAGAACTTGATACATTTTCATTCGACAGGATCAAAGGGAGCCGATAACGCAAATGGCGGTTCAAACGACATAAATATCTAAACGAATATAAATATCAACAGAATTATCGGACCATCTGAACAAGCAACCAAAAGTCGGAACCGAAACAATCGGATCGTGTAAACGGGCCTTAAATCGGAAATAAAATACGTTGAGGGAAAGAAAACTCACGTGATCGCATTTTGATGAGTGGTATTGACACCTTTTCCCGATTCGCCAGTTGATGCTTCCTTGTCCATGGTTCGGAACTTAGCCATGGCACTCATCGTTTCCGATTCCTTCCTCTTGACAACGTCCAGTTTTTGTTTAAATGTCACTTGACCACCACCATCAACATTGAACAACAATGGCACATAGTCGTGACCTAGAAATAACGATGAATAATAAAACTAAGCAAGAAAGTTTAATAAACACTTTCCATTAGTGGACGTTTTTAATTCAATCGCAATAGTCTGGGGTGCCCTTTCCCCAGTTCTTGCCCCAGCTTCGCGACGGTTACTCTGACGACATAACTTACCCGCACAAACAATACTGTTATCTGAAATCCAGATACAAGAGATCAGAGGGAGGAAATCACCCCTGACAGTGAAGATCTGGGACTTATTCGCAGCGAGAACTACACTGACACTGGAGTTGTGACTCACCCACGCCAATTTATCGCCACCGGAAGAGAAAGATACAGCGTGCACCCATCCACCTAGATGACGAAGTAAAAAAGTTCATTTGACCGAGAGGAAAGAGCCTGGAACTAGATGCAGAATAGAGTACAGACCAGTCAACAGAATTCAATACACTAGTCAAAACTTCGTGTCTAGTGATTTTTATGAATTATTATGAACTCATTTCCACAGACAATAACTACATACAAGAGTCAAAAAGTCAAAACCAATTGGAAAATATCGGTCATAAAAATATCATTTCAGCTAAACAAACAAATCATTACATTCATGCGTATATCGTTTGACGATACAACCTGTTCGTCATCTATTCGTTAATGCGATAATCGTCGAAACATGTCAGATACTTCAACACATCATACATACCTGGACAGACACTTCCATTTTTACACAGCTAATGCACAGTGGCTAACCACAAAAACAATCGACATAAAAGCGAGCACACATAGGTAACCTCACCTCTGCCTTCATAAAACTCGGCAAGGCACGCTCCAAAGGCTGGTTTTTCACCCCACTGCGTCTCTTTTGGAGGTTTACCGTCGACATCTTTGATGTGACCAGAAAATACTCTGCAACACACAGACATCCAATAAAAATACAACTCACGTAAACTCTTGTAAAAAAAAAGACAAATTTTATAAACAAAAGATCCCAATTTCCGTTCATGCCTGCCGATACCATGGGAATGGAACAACGTATAGAAAGGCACTAAAGCGTCGCATGTCGACATTTTGGTGGAAAATTTCGGCTCCGGGCACGCTATCCTACTTGGGATGCCAATAGTAAGCTTCACTCCATTAGAACACCTAGGTGCTACACAAGGAGAGTGCCGTCGCTACCTACGTCTAGACCCCTAAGCCGCAACTTACTGAACCCAGCATCCGCTGCTAATTAACATCTACGTACGTACGATATAGTATACATTTAGCCCATTTTATATACACGCAAGTTTAAGGCTGCTCTACGACTGGGGTGTGATTCCTCTCGTTACCAGGCGTGCTCAGATGATATCTTTAAGAATTTGCGAGTACAAAAGCGAGCTAATGAAAGTAGTGCAATTAGATTCAGTTGCGCCTTGCTATGACCCAAGACAATTAGTCGAGTTGACGGCGCATGCTCAAATGACATCTCTAATAAATTGTGACTGAGCAAGCGCAAATTACTCCCAAAGAGATCTAGTTGAATGGTTTGAACACCATGTACTTGCTTTTTACGTGTTTTGAGCTGTGACATTACCATGTACTGACTTGATTGCTTGTAATTCTTAAAATATTTCGAAAAGAAGTTCTTTCCGTGCAATTTTGAATGGAAAGGAACTGAGCTGTTTTAATTTTCCTGCATAAAAACTGATATTTTTCAATCAGCTGCATAGCTCTAAACGTTACTACCAGATTCAAACCATTCCCTTAATGACAATTGATTGGGTATCCTATAAATACCTGGCTTTAAAGTCTGTTGATCCAGCCGCAAGCAAGAGGTTGCTGGGATGCCAATCAATACTAGACAATACAGATACAATAATTTCATACAGCATTCAACAGTTACGTCAAATGAAAGACGGCAACAAATAAGCAAAATTCAATACTAAATTACCTTGTAACTGTGGACCGCAATGGTTTTTTGATATGCTTACTGACCCACCTGAAGGATGGAAACGAGTCGTCAACAAAAAGTTAATTTTCAGATTTGATTTTTTTTGCATGTGCACTCTATTATAGCTATGTAGCATCTCAATCAAAATTAATCTCACGTTAAACTTGACTTTTTATATAGTTCAGTGCAGTCACGCCTTCACCAGAAGTAATCTGATGTTGAAAATGGAGTCCATATATATACTCCTGCCTGGTGTCTTTGTCCAGACTAATCCAATGTATTGTTCGCAGTTAAAGTGCCCATATCACCTGGAGGATTTTTATGGTTTTGAACAGAGCATAAAAAGTTAGTAAATAAGTTTCAAAACATTTTTTATTGATAAACAATTGTAATTCATTTTATTGTATATGACAGTACGCGTTATTGAGTCCCCTAACACGACGGAAATTTTTACTATTTTCCATCTTTAAAGCTTTAATTTTTAAAAACTATTCAAGTAAATCAAAATATGTTTTGAAACTGATTAAGTAACTTTTTATGCTCTTTTCAAAACCATAGAAATCCTGTAGGTGATATTGGCACTTTAAATATTTATACTCCAGTCTAGCATACTTGCGGCGAGCAATCTGATTTTTTGTAACTTGAGCCGTTGCATAGTCCTAAGCAGTGTTTTCATTCTGTCAAAATAACCTCAACACATGGCGAGTGAAGACGAAACTAGAATGTTAAGTGGGCGCGGGGGGGTGTGTGTGAATATTCCTATATTCAGCTCTGCCCTACTGATTTCTTTCGAAATCGCTAACAAACCAAATCAGTCAAGCAGAGCTGAATATATGAATATTCACCCATCCCCCCCACCCATTCTAGTTTCGTTCTTGATAGCATATGCGGCCCAGAAATCTGTTTAAGTCTTTATTCAATCGATTTATGTAAATAGTAAATACATTATTTGATTTATGTCCAATGTTTGTTAAGCACGCGATCTCGCGTGACTTCCACGTGAGGCTGTACACATGGGCCAGGTAACCGGGATTCAGCGAGGCTCAAACGCAATGCAGATTGGGTAAAATTGTTTTTGCATACATTCAGATTGACTAAAATTTTTTCTATTATTTTAACGTAAATTCAGCCAATCTGCGATGCGTTTGCGCATTCAAAAATTTGACAAATTTTTAGATGAGTGACCAAAGGATAGGCTTTGCAAAATATTTGCCACAAACACTAAAAACATTCGCGTATTTCATACACATAGAAAGACATTTTAATGTTAAAAAAGTGCAAAAATACAGTAAAATAATTCGTTACTAAATGTAAGCATTTGTTTTTCGTGTTTTGTCATTTACTTATGAGATATTTACGGTTTTGCGAAAGTGTTTGAGTTAACACTGGGTAATTTTGTGTTGAGAGTCGCCAACCTGGTCAAACATACGTACGTGGAAGTCACTGGAGATCGCGTGCGTGACGAACATTGCACATAACTCAAATAATCTATTTAATATTTAAATAAATCGATTAAAATAAAAAACTTCAACAGATTTCTGGTCCGCCTAGGCTGATAAGGAGTATTCTGATGTTGAAACATACTCCAGTCTTGTGTTTTCGTGTTTGTTTTCAATTCATAATCACTTTATTCTAGCTAAACTTACGTACCAATCATTGTCTTTCTCAAAGTAACAGACAGAGATCAACCTCGCTCCACTTCCAACAGCAAATTTATCCTCTGTAAATCAATACACAATCAATGTGAACATACACATATGAACACAAAACTTGACATAAATATGTACAGTTAGTATTAAAGTTTTGCAAAAAAAGTTCATGTCTTTCCATATAATCTTGCGGAAAATAAACATGCCTAGTAGTTTTGACAAGAATCCACGAATTTTTTCATGTATATTATTAATAAGTAATAGTATGGTTTCTCGTGCAATTTGGAAAACAAGCACTCGTGAGTTTTCAAAGACTTCAAATTGCACTCATCCTTTGGACTCGTGCAATTTTGATAGTCTTTGAAAAACTCACTCATGCATGTTTTTCCCAAATTGCACTCGTTTTCCCAAATTGCACTCGAAACCATGCTATTACTTATACAAAGCATTACTGAAGTAAATTTAGTATTTCAAACAGTAATACTTTTATCAAAATTGTGATGACATGTACAACGCATTCTTACAGACAGGTTAACAAAAAGTTCAACCAGGTTTTCAATGTCTATAACCCTTCCATTTTTTCATATTCCACAGACTTAAACTTGAGATCTTGTAGGTTCATAAGCCTATCTCGGTGAGGCCTTTCTCGGTTCATAAGCAATTGTTATACTTTATTCAGTGAGAATATTTTCACTAACATAACGAAGTAATTAATACTGTCTATTGCTTTGTTACTGGCTATAAATGAAAATTCAGTCACAATAAGATTGCATTTTCATAAATACTTAACTGAGACTCGTCTCTGCACTCCAACAAAAACTATACTATAAACTACTTATCGTATTCACAAAATAGCTTGTAAAAATATTTTAAGACCACGGCCATACTTAATAAATTAGAATTCTTCATGTGTGCATTATACACCATTAGGGTTACGTATGCAACAGAAAATGATGTACCTTTTGGTGACCACTTGACACATGTTGCAGCACGATTTATTCTCAAAATAACCAAAGTTGGTTTCCATTTTCCCTCCTGAAGATTCCATACATAGGCATTACGATCCTAAATACAGCATTGATTAAAATTAATAAGGAAGTACATACACAGCTATTCTTGAAAACCACAGACTTCAAATTCAAAAAAATTAGCATGCATATTGCATTAAGCTGCAACACAAAAATCAACCCTCTCGCCACAGATCATCAGGCCAAAAATAACACATAAAAGTAACATTTACAGCTCCACAAGTGACAATCCTGTTGCTCTCTGCAGCCCAGTCAATGCCAGTAACATTTTGACCATGCTAAAAATGAAAGAACAGAGATCATTACTTTTTTATTTGCTTCAAGAAATTTTGAAGATTTAAACCTAGAAAAACCCAGCATGCACACAATCTATAGTGCTCCTTAAAATGGTAAAAAGACACTTGCTTCCATGTACATTTTGCTTTCCTTTTTTGTTTTAGCACAATCCAGTAAATTTAGAGAATCATAATTGTCACGTGGTTATAAGGACATGAAAAGCATCTCACTTGGACGAGGTTGCGTACCGTAAATGGGAGCAAAGATCATATATCATATTCACAGGCTTTTGATGACATATCACCAATGACTCAGTCATTATCAACATGTTGCAATGGAGAACTTTTTTTTATTTCACTATTAATTAAACTTGATGTGGTAAAGATCAGTCAGATAAATGGGGAGCTCTCAAGCTCTCAATGGTGAGGATCATATAATAAACATTAACTATAAGATTTTGTAGCTACTCCACTTTCATTCCTCAACGTTTAGAAAGAGTGGACTTCTCATCGAATGGCAAAAGGGACATTTTTAAATTCGTAAACCCATTTTACGCATATGGGATGGGGTAGGCAGGGTGGAGTTGCTCCGTAATAAAGTTTGCAGATTGAAGTTGGGCAAATTGTAAACATTATGTAGTACGTGGGGGGAAAATATGTGGAACGATTATTGTGAGTTGGGGAATATTTACTTCCCCCTACCAGAAATGATAGCTCCCATATGCATATAAGGGTAAACGCAACCGGTTTTGTCACTTGTTTTTGACTTCTGTCTCTAAATTCATCAGACCTTTACAGAACATATGAAACCCTTTAGCAATCATTAAATTATTCATTGTTTTTCTTTCATGAATCGTTTTCAAGTAACTTTTCCACATGATTTTTAAATACAAAAAAATATGTTGCACAGAATTTTCATCAACTAAATCTGATGTTTGCAAATCCTGAGTGATAATTTTCTGCTTTGTTTGGCAATTTTTTAGTTGTTTTTTTTTACCTCAGTCAATACACAATCCGGTTGCCACTTGTTTCCAGCCAATTTGTAGATATGAACTGTGTGATCATTGGGCGAGAAGGCAAGTTCTGAAAATTTCATAGAAATATGAGGTTTAAATCTTGAATACTCGACATTGGTTTATGTAAGTGTACATTAAAGCTCATTTTTAAAATTAATATGCCAGCACATAATTTTACATACGTACAACCATCACAAAAGCTTTGAAATGAATAATTAAATTAATCATGTTTTGTCTTAACTCAAGACACCTTCAGCTATTATAAAACCTTAAGGCCGCAAATAAGAAAGGAAGAAGGTCACTTGGGTTGTGTTGTGTTTGAGTCTTTGGTGTTTTTGCTATGCTTTGAATTTCGGCTGCCTTTATTCCAACCTGGATCATCACTTGTTTCTAAGCATGTGTTGCACTTTTGTATGACCCTTCTGTAATATCATGTTAATAATAAGCTGACTAAGCTTATTGTCTAATGTTTTTAGTGAAATACCTAAATCATGTTTTTTATTTCTCAACTTAATAACCATATCATATAAAACAAAATCTGTAAACCTTTCACTCACTGTCATTATTAACATGATATTTCTGATAGCGAGTGTGGCATTATAAATTGACCCTTCTGTATTTTGAACAATTATATCATATCAAAAATTTGCTTTCCGCTAGACAAGCCTCCTACATACCACTACTTTGCACAACTAAAATAGTACTATTATGCAAAAAATCCAATAATCTATAATCCAAACTTGCATGACCTTGGAAAACTGAGATCACTGAAACAAACTACTTTAGAACTTAAAAGTGTCTTAAAACATTGTCAAGTTTTGACTGTCTAATACATAACTCACTCATTAAGTATTGGGAAAGTAGAATTCACATAGATATGTCCAAAAAAATTTTGTGTGAATCACTTCATACCAGTGAAATGGTCAAGTTTGATCACTTTAATGTAAGATATGTACGCACTAACTTAAGATAATTTCTCAGTCTATCTGGCACCCTTTCAGAGTATTCTTGATAGGACCATGTCATGCAGGGGATTACCATGTAATGTGAACTGTGACCAGATGTAAAAGCAATCGTCACGACGTAAGGAAAACCGTAAGCCAAAGAGAAAGTCTTAGAAATAATATGCACATCAAACTGCTCAAAGTTATCAACGCCCAATGACTTCCTGTTTTCAAGAATTAGTGCAAAATAACTGACGTATTGAGTCGCAGACAAAGTAATCAGGATGATTGACCAAATCCTTCGCTGAAAAAACTTCAGCATAGAGTCGTAGAGCTTATTTCTCTCGCGAGAAGTGAAAGGCACATTTAAATTTCAAACTATACGTTGACAGACTTGAGTAGTTGAATCGACCACAAATTCAAACCATAAAACTCACTTTGTCTTTGCTTGTCCAAAGCAAAGCATGTGATTGTTCCAACAATAAGTTCATGAACACTCTTTTCCGACATTTTTCAGCTTTTTGAAACAATATATTTAACCGTCTAAGAATAAAATATCCGTGGACTCTGGACAGTCAACACGAACCACAATAAAAAAAATGAAACAATTGAATGGTGATCGAACAATTGGAGCAGTCATTCAAGCACAAACGTATGGTCAGCGGCAAAAGGTTATTGTCGGTCAGTGACTCGATAAACTCTCATAGATAGAGTAGATTATTTGTTCCCATCAATATAAAACATAAAACCAGATTTTCAAATGCATTTACGAGTCTTTTTAGTCGCCTCTGCAACCCCAAATGATAGAACAGAGCTCTTTCGGGACAACTGCGATCCGAGAAGACTCAGTCTGATTAGAGATGATTAAAAAAAGTAGTACGACTTTTGAAAAGCCCACAATCGCAAGTAGTACTCACTTTTCTGTTCAGAATACTGGCATCGATATCATGTGTCTTTTTACAACAAAAATAAAAATTGACATTGTAAATGCAATTTATGAAAAATACATTGCGTTATATATAGGAAGTATATCTTACATCAGCAAGAGAGGACTACGAATTTATAATTAGCTATTTCAAGCATTTGGATCTCTTTTCATCAGCTCAATGTCGCTTTCAAGCATTTCTTTGATGAGTTCCTAATATGAAAAAGCAAATAAAAACATTACAAATTTGAAATGTAGAAGACATGACGTCATTTCTTACGTCAAAGATTCGGTTTTGTAAGAGTGCAGAAATGACGTCATGTGTTTTTGAAGATTGGAGCTTGATAGAAAAAAGTGACAAGGAGAATCAGATATTCTGATCTCATGGCTGGAGTAATGACGGACATTCACAAGGGGTTTGAGGTGGAGCGGTTCACCACCAAAAAAATTAATATTGGAAATTTTGTCGAGCAAAAGCCAGCTACTTGTCGGGCAAGATAGTGTTGTAAGGAGTACTGAATTCATCATAAAAATGTAACAGTCACAAAAAATTCAAAACAAGTTTTTATAAAACAGCGATTTTACTACAACAGCGATTTCGCTGGACAATTAAGCAAAATAAAAACCAACAATCATTACAATGATGGCAATTGCAATAACACATTAATATTCAATAGAACCAACAATCCTTACAATTATGGCTGTAACACAATAACATTCAATAGAACCAACTTAGGTTTAAGTGTTCAAGTAGATATATTCAATAACAACACCTTATTATGTGTTCCGCGAATATCGATAACACAAAAACGAATATCATTAGAATTCAATAAAAACTCATTATAACTGTTCAAAATAAAAGTGTATTTAATGATGATGGTTTGTGCGTAAATGTATTTAATTTGGCTTAAATGGGTTTTTTTCTTGAAAAATAAAACGAGTGTTGCATTTATGATATGGATATTCGTTTCGTGAGATTTTTTTTAAACAAATACATAAGAAAGAGTTGTTGTTGAATACGCCAATTCGTACATTTGAGCATTAGTAACGCGTGCCTCGCATTGCCATCGTTCTAATGATATTGTATTTTCTGCTTAAAGTCCTCGGTTATATAGTGTTTTTGCTTTGGTGCCATTTATTTAGTTCATACTAGTTTAAAAACTTTTGTAAATGAATTTTATAGTTCAAATGCATGATTTTGCTGGATTTTTCCGTCCTCGAAGTTGAAAAATTGACCATTTTCATTGTTTGACCGTGAGGATAAAAAAGCTCATAACTAATGTTATTTTTGGCGTCACAACGGAAACTTATTTATTGCATTTTTTTAAATTGGATGTTTTCGAGCATCTACGAAACAAGATGCCATCCACGTGTGTAATGCGAAAAACAGCTCTGTTTTTGAGAAAATTATGTGTAAAATACAGCGTTTGTTAATGCATGTTCCCGATATGACGTCACACATGGGCTCTCGCCCTAGTTTTTTTAATCTCACCGTCGTCAAGCAAATAATCACCGATTTTCAGTTCCCTTGGATGCACGAAGATTAAATTCTCGAATTGCGAAATATATTGCCAATATGTTTAAAATCTTCTAAATTATTTACATAGCACAAATGCAAAAACACGATAAATGCACTTTAAATCATCAATACGTACATGATGTATTGATATACAAAATTGCACCTCGCTCTTTTGCCGGATAAATTTAATGCAACGCCCTTAAATCGGAAAGTTCAGTCCTTACCCTCCCTACTAATCTTGAGACCCATGTTACGCCCCTAGGCACAACTCTTATACTTCAATGCAGTGCAATAACAATAATTCCTTATTATCATTCGTTATTATCATAGTTTTCATTCGTATTATGTCATACACAGAGTCAACAAAAAGTTCCACAATAAAACGATACTTACATTGAATGAAATTTTCGGCTTCCAACCAAGTTGTTTGTAAGCTTTCTCGGGATTACCTTGCAAATATTCCTAAAAGAAAAACAGCGAACGCGTTCGTACCACTAACAAAAGTACCCACTGTTGGCGGTATTTCATACATGTATACAAAATGGAATGGTTTCAACAGGGTCGTTCCTAGAACGTCAATAGGGGGGAGGGGTATTCATATACTTAGTTGTGAACAACTGATTTCTTTTGAAAAGAAACTCAATTTCAAAAAAAATCAGTCGGAAACTACTTAATATATGAATAAACACCTCCCCCCCTGATTAACGTTCTAGAGACGGTTCTGCCTGCCTTTCAATCTGCAGTGGTGTAGCCAGTCTGTAAATTTGTTCATGCTATGTAAATATTTTAGTGTTCACACACTGTAAGAACAATACATTTCTAAAGAAATATGTGATGCTAAAGATCAAAAATTTCGAAGGCATGAACGAATTTGTGGGCTGGCTACGCCATTATAAGTCAAGTTATTTTGCCGTAACCATTCAAGGGGAAAACCTCCATAGGGAGGGGCAGTTTCAGTTTGTCCTAATAATGTAAATTAATGGTTAATATAAGTTTTTTTCTAAAGGAAGCCGTCCATTTAGTAAGTATGTAAAAAATGGGGTAAATGTATATGATCGCTTCGTACATTTGTGTACATGCAGTGGAGAGGAGAGGTTGCTAAGCTGTTCATGACATTTTCGAATCTAATTTCGGTTCGATGTGTAAGGAAACAATTCGCATATATTTAACGATTATGTATCTCAACTGTTTTACGTATGCTGGCTGAAGTTAACAGAAATCAGTTTAACATTGTTTTTAAAAAGCATACTTTGATTTGCTCAAGGGAAACATTACAAAATGTGATAATCTATAGTGGCAAATTACATTGGTGTAGGAGGAGGGAGGGTGAAGCCAAATATTCAACATGTGTGGAAAAAAGAGAAGGAGTGCTTGAAATTCGGAAAAATTTGAGTACTTAATAAATGGACAATTCCAAGGTCAGCTAGTATAAACTTTTTTGTAGGAGTAATTAGTTAATAACTTAGGTCAGAAGAGAATCTAATTCGCCAAAATAAATCACAACAGCTTTTTTTGAAAATATATTTATGAAAGGAAATCCCATTCATAAGCTTTTATCCGCTGTTAATTCAAAATCCTCGGCATTTTTATGAACATATTTTGAATTTAAAATTGACCTGTTAGAACATATTTTGAATAACGCTTGATCGAGCACTGAAGCTTACAATAGCATGTACTTACCACACGACACAATGGCGGAGACGTTGGTGTAGTCGTGACTTACTATAAACTAATTTAAAACTGATAATACTGTCCGTCAATTTCACATAAATTCACTCTGTGTAGTGCTGCGATGTTCGTTGAACAGTTCAAGTTGCAAAGTACATATAAGTTATCAAAAAATTGCTCAGTCACAATAAAACACATTTGATTGAATGACTAAAGACTTAAAGCAAACGAACATATAAACGTTTAAAAGAATTTCGAAAACGGCTACGCGGAGAAAACTAAAAATTGTTGAAATTAATTAACATTCTATATAGACATTCTCAATCAAATATTTAAAAGTTTCTTGAAAGTTGCAATGTTAGTTTTAGACCTTAAACTGTTTCTAAAGCACTTTTAAGATTTTGTTCCTTAGAATTCGACAGAAGCTCATTGGATTGTTCTAGTGCATTCCATCCAAGCCAAAAATATTCATGATTGCAACAAAGCTTGATAAAATTTACGAAAATCGTGTTGGCATGAGCCCTTCCGACATGCAAAAACATCATCAGCAACCTTCAAGAAACAATTCAAAACACAAAATAAAATTGCCCCCTTGGTATGGTTGGTTTTGTTAAGTATGTCAACATCTGTATAAACCTTCAAGCAACCTTCAAGAAACACAAAACAAAATTGCCCCCTTGGTATGGTTAGTTTTGTTAAGTATGTCAACATCTGAAGAAACCAGATTAAATCAAGCAGAAGATTTGACAAAACATTTCACCATTTTGTCATCATCTTCCGTAACTTCCATTGCACAATACTTTCATAAATTCAATTTTTCAAAATGTTTCTTGAACAGCACAACGAGTTAGTTGAAAAACCAGGAAATCTTTAATAATTACAATGAAAATATGCGCCATCGCGTAACAAGGAGCAATTCATTTGATGAAAATTTTTGGTCGCGTGAAAATTTTAAAGTAGTTTTAGTCAGTTGCGACATACTTGCAGAAGACAAATATATTTGCTCTAAGTCAAAATGGTGATTTCAACATACTTTCATGACCATAGTGCATTAAACACCATGACCCAGGTACATACCACTTCTGCCGGTCGGAAGTATCTCTCATCGATTCTCACGCGGACTTTTCCACTCGAAACTTCCTTTCCAACCTCGTTCAATCCTTCACCTTCCCATCTGAAATAACAATGATTAGCAAAAGATTAGACAACGTACAACGAGAGATGCATCATCGATGGTTTTTCAGGGGGGGGGTCTAGTTGTATTATACTTGGGTGGCTATTTGTTGCCGTTTGTTAAATTATATTAAGTACCAATATATTTTTGTTGGGATCGGAAGAGTTTAAAAACGTGCTCCATTAAACACTAATCACAATTGTTTTTACTTCTTTATTTGGTTCAAGTATTTGTATTTTGTAGTGATATTGGCAGGCCTCTTGCACTCGTTTAACCAAGGCTAGGAAAGATGCGCAACCCTTGCCTGAATTTATACCTGACGAGCACAACTAGCCTAGCATAATCAATGTTGACATAGTCTCTATTAGAAGACTTACTTTATGGGCATGTCGGCGAGATTAAAACAGAGTTCGATCAATTCTCGTACGGTGTGTACAGCGTTTGTTGCGACAACGAAATCATCGGGTTTGTTATTCTGTAGCATCAACCACATTGCCTTCATAAAGAAAAACAGAAGAATCTCAAAAACGTTTGTGTTAAAGTGCCCTGTCGGTAAAAAAAATTCATTTGCGATATCAAGTCTACGAGAGATGTCGAACACATTAATGAAAAGAATTTTTAATGTAGTCCAATTGTACCATTTTTGTAGTGGTTTAAAGTTGACAAAAACGCTCTTTTTGATGGACCTTGTCCGTCATCAGAAAAGTCTGGAACGACATACATTTGTGACGTCATGCAAGGTACACGACAATACAAAGTATATATACCGACTACCTTGGATGACGTCAGAATTTGACTAGACCCAGACTCCATGCTACAACGGACAACGTCCATTGAAAGGCAGCTGTAAGCCACTATAAAATTGGAACGATTACACCAAACCAAAAACTCTTAACCGTGATATGATCGACAATAGAATCAGAAGTTGATAAAAGCAGTGATCGTCACGTCATTAATTTCAATGGCGAAGGCCAAGTTGAAAAGTGGAACTTTGCATGAACCGAACGCTTTTAAAACAAAAATTGACGAAGTTCATGTCATTTTCCTTTGTCTTTAATGCGTTCGGTGCATGTAAAGTTCGACGTTAGAAACAGGCCTCAGTCATTTTGGGGATTTTTGACAAAAAGAGAAAAGAATTAATATCATTTTAAAAACAGTCAAACAATTCATCGATTATCAAACAATCTACATTTATTGAGTCTTTCCATTGGTCAATTTACTTCAGCAATATATACAAAACGCACCAGTGAGGGCAAAATAGTAGTTTTAGGAAAAAAACCCAAAATTGAAAAAACATGACTAAGGGAGAAAACTTAATGTAGTAACGTGACGTAATGTAGATCTTGAAGTAGGGTGTACTGTAATACATGATACTCGCCCAAATTCTATTGATGACGTCACTACAAATGCTGGATGTCTTATGTGACATAAGGAAACCTCATAATTCAACAACAGTATTGACTTTCATACAACATAACAAATTATTTAAACAGCATGAATGAATGTATTTGTTCTGACCTCAACAAAATCTCTCGCATGTCCCCAATCCCTAACAGCGTTTATATTTCCCATCGAAAGCTAAAATGAAACAAAATCACCATAAGTGAAGCAGAGTAAAGATCGATAAAGACGACAAAGCCAACACAAAGTTTCGCTAACAAAGCTCTGGTTTGGTTTGGCTAATGTATTAGACGTGTGGAAACCAAAGTGTTAGTTTCAATACGTCTAATACATTAGAAGAAATATCCTAAAGAATACTACGACAAAATACTAGTTCAAATATTTAAGTTCTGTACCTATGTATTGTCAAGTAGCAAAATTTGGTACTGTAATTCTTATGGAAAGGTTAGTTTCCATACGTCTACAGAAGCACTACATTCCCTAATGAGAATATTATTACCATTGAGGTAGTTTCATGTGTCTAAAATCTGCACCTAAAGTACTGCTTAAGGGCATAGTTTAGAACTGTGCTTGTCATTACAAGGTTAGTTGTTATACGTGTATAGAAGCACATGTAAACATCTCGCATGCCATATTTTTAAAGCGATATTCCACAAAAAAACTTTTCAAAGAAAAACGAGAAAACGATCACCTCCTCTTGCTGACCTAACTTGATTTTGGCAACTGTTCGGGTGACTTTACGAGTAACAAATGTTTCACCTGAATTTTTAAAACAATTGTAAGTAAAAAAAATGCGAATCCAACATCGAGAAGCAAACGTCACTGCGCATGCGCAAAATTGTATGTTGCTGGGATTTCTTTCTAAAATCTGTTATCTTTCTATGATGATTGGGTTGTATTTCCAAAGGGGATTGGCATCCCCTACTGCTCCCCATCCAGCCAGGTTAGCAGGGGTGAACGCAGCACAACCCTCTGTACCCTCCGTTAATCCATCCCTGAGTTACAGAAACAACCCTTACTTAAGAAAATAAAACATAATGCATCATGCAACCTGTAAGAAAACAAATAAAAAAACGCAAGCCAACCTCTCCTTGGACTTTCATGATTAAACAATATTCCGTTACAGGCAAACATGCCATACGATTCTCTAAAATTGATCGTGATCCAGTACGCGTAGAGTTTTGCACAACCTGAAAACCAAATGATTGAATAAATCAGACTTACATCACGTACATGAAAAACTGTTGGAAACAGGAAAGCCAGTTTTTCCAGACCATTATCACCTTCGCCACCCCACGTGTCACATGTAGAGGCTACATTAACTTAAATAATGATCGACGACAAATACCGTAAGGTGATCTGGGATAGAAAGGCGTCTTCTCAGTTTGCGGAATCTCTTGTACTTTGCCGTACATTTCGCTGGTGGATGCCTGCAGGAACAACAAAATATAATCAAAGCACGTGCGAGATTTAGGGCTTTTTTTATCAATGATTTAGTAACCAATCCTCTAGAAGTCCAACTATCGTGTCAAGGTGAGACAAGGATGCGATCTCGAAAAGTGGCAAGAAGCAAAACTCAAAATGAAAAATAAGTTAAAACAAAGTTTAAAAAACCCATCCTATCAAATATTTTAAGTATCAAACCTGGACTATCAACTTGTCGACTCTAAATCAACTATGCAAAAGCAGATATTAGTCGTAAATATCGTCAGTTTTGCCACCTTTCAAGATGGCAGCTTGCCTCACTCAATGCTATATAATTTCGGCGGAGTCAGATATCTAGTAAACTGGGTTCTAGGTTATGGATTTTTATAGACATACATAGAGGAATCGCCCTCCCCCCTACCATTTCTGTACAACTTATACACTGAAAGAAAAAGACGTTCAAACTTATCAATATCATGCGTGCACATCATCTAGTAAAAAAATTGCTTGAAAAAGTTTTGTTAAGCAATGGTTCTCTGCCAACTACATTTCTAAAGTAACAATACGAAATAGAATCACGTTCAAATTGTATAAATTAGATGAAACAAATTTGCTCATCAAAGGTCATTTTTTGCTACACAATTATAGCAAACGCAGCGACGACACTGATACATACATATAAGAATTGATACATAACAAACGTGAAATACGTAAAATCAATTCATTACAGGCACTGTAATCAGTGGCGTAGCCAGACCGCAATTTCTCGGCGAGTGAGCAACAAAATATTTAAATACGTTATCAACAGACTTGATGGCTGACTTCACAACTGAGTACATAATCCACCTAAAGTAATGTTTAATCTCATCATTGAAGGCAGTCAAAACGTTTGGGTTACCTGTATAAAAAACAGTAGTAGACTTGCTTTTATGAATATTTATCATCACACTAAGGTCCACATACACCACATCAAAGGAATCTATCGTAAAAACTGACTCTGACTGTTCTATCGTGCTCTCATTACAATAGAGAGCTTTAGAAAGAGTACGACTACGACAACGAGTACGAAGTTTGACCGTGTAAGGGAATGGCACGAGGAAGTTTGTTGTCGTTGTCGCTTCGTCAAAATTTAGTTTTGGCTATAAACAACAGAACGAGCTTTTTATTGTGAAAAACACCGACGTTTGCGAAGCAGCTACGGCTCCATTTGTCAATAATGATATCAACTAATCGGTAATACTGATTTTGCAAGAACATACGACTCTTTAGAGTGAAAAATCTTCACTATTTTAAATTTTATGTACGATATATTTATGCTATTTTATTGTTTGTTTACCTTACACTTTGCGTACGAAATACATGAAGTAATCAAGGTCATATTTCCTTTTAAATGTACATATGCGCTCAAAAAAGGTTCTAAAGTAAAGCCTGGATGCTCGAAATTAGTACTGTAAACTACAGAATGAAGAAATATACATACTTTCTTTGCTTAAAAAGAAATCGTAGTCGCGACTACGAATTTTTTACAAAACATCGTACTCAGATTGATGACGGCTACAGGCTGTTGTTGTCGCAACAATGTTTTCGCGCCAAAATGACGTAATCGTACTCATAGTCGTGCTCGTAGTCTTTGCAAAAGTTCTCTAATCATTTAACTGTAACTGCTGCCAGCGAATTAAATTGATTAACTAATTCCTACATCCTGTTTAAAAACATGCATCCCTATGACTTTACCTGATAGAATCGGACAGTTTTCTCCATATTACAGGTTTTTATGGCGTCTAATAATCTTAGCGTTCCTAAAGCATCAACTTCTGCGGTGTAGTCAGCCAACTCAAATGAAACCTAATAAAACAATGCAAGCAAAGAATGCCAAAATTAAAATATATTACTATAACAATATTCCAGCAAAGTAGATTCATTTATCTAAACAAGAACCTATGCGTTGTTCTATTGCATAGTTTACCTCCATGTTGATCATGACAAAGTCAAAATCAAAGCAAGAACTCTCTCCTACTCCGTGACACAGTCACATAATAAAATATACAGTCTAACTTGCACAGAGTTCTAACTTGCGGTCTTGGCCAACATTTACGTATCCTACTCCATGACACAATCACATAATAAAATATACAGTCTGACTTGCAAAGAGTTGTAACTAGCGGTCTTGGCCAACATTTACGTATCCTACTCTGTGACACAATCACATAATAAAATATACAGTCTAATTTGCAAAGAGTTGTAACTTGCGGTCTTGGCCAACATTTACGTATCCTACTCCGTGACACAATCACATAATAAAATATACAGTCTAACTTGCAAAGAGTTTTAACTTGCGGTCTTGGCCAACATTTACGTACATACGATATGTTTGTGTTTCTAAAGATCGACAATGCTATCATCAGATACAGTGGCATAATCTAGTTTTAGTCAAGTAAATTCATTATAAATTCAAAATAAAACTATTGATTTTTAAGTAGATACTTACTTAAGTCGTGTTTTTGAGTCCTGATAAAGTGACTACGTAGTATGTATTAACATGCAATTATTTAAAACATGAAAATATCAGTTCAACGTCAATCTGTCAAGTACGTAGTGCAGTTCAAGACTCACCAAACACTAACTTGAGTAAGCTAAGAAAAAAGAGACAAACAACAAACCTTGACATGGCTCATTGCTCCTAAGTTGTAAATCTCTGTTGGATTTATCTAAATGAAATGAACAAAAACACTAGTACAAGCCAAGTACATTTCTTTCACAAAGGTTGCGGAGGTGTCTGAGAGTATGAAACTATTATTTTTTCCAAAAATAGTAAACACTAGAACAAAAAGATGGCGAAACATGTGAATTCAAAATCTTACCTCAGATATTATTTTAACAAGATTGGTACTATCAGTCAAATCTCCATAGTGTAATTTTAATTCTATATAGCAAAGGATGTTATTGTATATATGAGCAGTTACAAACATTGCATGCTGTAAAACAGCAAGATGACCGTCAGTGGCATAGCAAGCTCGCAAGTTTGTTTATGCTATGTATGTAAACATTTTGGTGTTCACTCAATATAAAAACAATAGTTTTTAAAGAAAGAAATATTGCTAATGATGAAAAATTTACAAAGCCTAACCATATTTGCAGGCTGGCTACACCACTGATGATAACTAGAGCTACAACAAGTACTACGCAAGTACTGAAGTTAGAAAACTATATATCACTCCTGTATGGAGTTTGCATGCCACATTTGTATTTCCAAGGTGTACAAAGATACGTACGATAATGTTTGTGGGACTTAGGATCATCAAATAAGTGATGTATTCTTCCGAGATTAAATGAACTTGATCTCCTTATAATACCATGAACCTAGAATGAAAAGTCAGAAAAAACATTGCCTCTTAAATCCAGTGCCCTCCTCCCACCAATAATGTTCAAAGACTAAAAATTGTGAAGCACATATCAGAAATCACACCTACATAACATATACATATGTAATACAAAGCAATGATTATTTATGTAATAAACTTCTAAGCTGTACATGTTTCCACATAAATTAAAGCTTGTTGAAATATTTGTTCACGTGTAATGTAATGGGAAATCTCAGGCCTTGGGCACAAAACACCACACCCCACACCCCCCAATTCAAAAGTATCTGCCACAGGAATAATAGTGTTGCAGCAATCGCACAATGATCAGTGTTCTTAAAGAAGCCGACATACAAATTCTTAATAGACTCTTGATTTTGATGTATATCTAAAAGTTTTACAATTTTCCTCCTCTGTAACATGCTAGAATCATAAGAAACTATATGAAAATTAAACAAAATTTTAATATTGGTGAAACTCAAATTGCAATCAGTTTTTTTTGACAATAATAAGCATCAGTATTAAAATCTTTGTCAAACAAATTACCATACAGACTCAAATAGAGCATCCTGAAAGTAACCGCCCCCTAGGAAGAACCCTCTTTGTAGACCTTCGGAACTTATTTTTACTTTTATTCAAATAAAATGTTCTTGTGCACTGTGTCAACCAATGCAACTTTAAACACATTGAAAAATACCATTTACAGAGAATAGAATAAGAGTTAATCATACAAGTTAACTAAAGCTGAAAATAAGAACTAATATCTAAGCAATTTCATAATCATGATTACTATGAAGTTTAACAATCCATACCATGTATCCTTTAGAAAGAAGAAGTTCTGCAAGATACGACCCATCCTTAACAAAGAAAACAGAAATAATTTGAAAGGGCTTCATATTTGGAAACTTAAATATCATACTAGTTAACACTACAGCCTTATCAATCTTGTAAGCATTGCTAAACAGGGTGTATAGAAAACACTGATCATCTTTGAAATCAGCTGACATAGTTAGAATTTAAATTATTCAGCAGTTGTTAATCTCAAAAGAAGTGCAAAAAATTGTTCAAATTGAATTTCTTTCCAGGGATTGCTATGGGCAACAGCTGTAATGTATGCATACATTATTGTATTTAACTCAGCCTTTACAGACACTTTCATGAATTGTGCAAATTCTTGTGCAAGAGCCAGTCTGCAAAGCAGTGCGTATTTTTCCAAGATCTTGGGTGTGTATCAAAAAACAAGTGCACAAAAGTAGTAAAAAATAACGTAGGTGTGCCCTTTACATAGTTCACAAAGGCCATAATTTGAGCACCCAAACAAAGCATAATTTGGAATGTCATTGCTTATTATGCTTCGCTTACGTAGATATTCATTATAAATTTATAATTTAAAATGCCATTGCCACTATAAAACTCTCTATACAACAGTCAATTTCAAAACATCATCATCTTGCTGAAATGTGTGAACGCTGATTATAATTGAATGAAAATGATATCATAATAAAGTACATGACTCAGGGGCGCCACTAAACCTTAAATATCTCGCGAGCTCCTTTGCCATACTTTGAAGACTGGTGCAATTGTCGATTGATTTCAAAGATAACCTTTCTTTATGCACCCAGGGATAAAATACTTAAATGCGTAGCAAATCTACATTGATTGTGTCATTTGATCATCAACATAGAGGTATTTATCATTGCATCAACAGCAATATTAAATACCTCCATGTTGATGATCAATTGACACAATCAATATAGATTTGCTACGCATCCAATTCAGCAATGAAAATAACAATTGACCGGCAAACTAACCTGACCGGTTATTCCAGTGATAAGAGCAACTTTCCGCGCACCTGTATCGTTTGCAGCCATTCTGCTCCTTTCAAATTCTTATACCTTTCACAAAAAAAATAAAAAATGTAGTGTTGCAAGTGATCAAGGTTGCCACGTCGTCAAAAGCATGTTCACGTATACACAGTTCTTTATCCACTTTTCCAAAACTGCAACTTTGGCGCATGCTCGTTGGCGCTCATCAATTCTCCATCTGCCACAGTGAACTCTACAACAACTGGAAGGCTTCAGAGCCCTCTATTAGTAAGAGTTGGGACAAACGGTCTGGGGCGAGCGCGGAGCCGCCATTTTGGTACTATAGAGGGCTCTGGAAGGCTTATTCAATATACACATGCCAAGACTTGTCTGAAGCATTGAGTTCATTGAGTTCTATAATAACTGGAGCGGCTATCTCAAGCGCGGCCTTAGATATCTGATGACGCCAAAAAATGGCGGATTTCGTCCTTTGCCGCTGAGATTTACCGAAATTGACCGCTTTTCCGAAAATTTCACAATTTCCCACTCCCTCCTGAGAAAAGAGTGAGGAAAATGTATGCGTGTGTATTTGAGATTCGGAAAGCAATTTTTTTGCTGAAAATCACGATAAAAACCTGCAATTCGTAACAGCGAGTCAACCTAGCTTTCCAGTTATCGGCTCCTACGAGGAAAGCTATTAACTATAAACTATGTGCGAAAGAACTCTTTGTTGGCTGCGTTTGAACGTTTTTAAACGTCGTGTCTAATGTACATGTGGACGATGTGGACGATGTGGTCTCTTTTCAAGGTAAGGAGAAAGTCTTAAAGCCATGTCCAGCCGACAATTTAAAAAAGATAGTAAAAACAAATTCTGAAGAAACAAGATATCTCGAGATGAAAAAATGTGAATGAAAACAAAACGCGAAGTGAACTGTAAATTTTCGATTTATTTCAAAGTCATCCTCAGACAGAATGATAATCCAAACCATGCATACACATATATATTTACAATGCATGAATTAAGTAACGAAAGTCAAGCAATAGAAATTAAATAGTTTGATATTTACGAAAGCGGAGTTGGAAGGGCTGTCATATTTTTAAAGGATGAATTGAAACAAGAGACCAGACTGGTGGAATGAGTGTATTGTAATTTAAAGTGCACATACAGCTATTTTTAGTTTTTTATTCTCAAATAGATTTTGGATAAATAATACAAATGCCGTTTACAGAATTTGAATAACTTTTTTCGTTTTTGAGTTATCTTTCGGCAAAGATGCGAATAAAACCTGAATTTCAACGTTTTGTAAAAAATGTCGAGAGCTCTAATCCGTGGCATGGGACTTACTTGTGACGTCATTTAAGGAACACAGACTGACTGCCAAAACAACTTACACTGTTTATGCATGTAAACAAACACAAAAATGCCAGATCGATGTGTAGTTTTTGGTTGTTCTAACGTAGCCAGTTCGGAGAAAGGCATTTCACTTCATCGCATACCATTTTTAACGACGAAAGAAGCGAAGCTAAGCGTAGAAGAAAGCGATGGGTCAACTTTGTGAAAGCTACTCGCGATAAGTGGGTCCCCACAAAGAATTCCGCAGTTTGCTCGGAACACTTCACAAAAGATTCGTTTTCTCGGCAATTCGGCTCGCTTTCTGAATCAGAAAGTAATTTTTCACCTCGACTCATTCGAGATGAATTCGGAATCGTTGCTTACCCGAGCATTTATTCTCGAAAAGATGACAATGAACTTACAACAAGAGATCGCAGAATGGTGAGTACGTTAAAAATTATACATATGCATATAAACATTTTACCTGGAATTTGTGTGAGAGTATATTTCATAAATATATGTCATTTTACATGAAAAGAAAGTGGATGTCTGATAATAAAAGAGAGGTTGAATCAGAAAATATTCCAAGTACAAGTAGCGAACCTCAAGAGCAAATAGAAGAAACAACTTGTGGTGAGCCTGTATTAGAGAAGGTAAACTTATATGATAATTACGCCACTGCTGTAAAGGTTAACGTAAATTATTGTTTTGTATATGTATTGCTGTTGTTTCTAATTTAGGAAGTACTGTAATGTATCAATCACCATGACAATGTTAAAATAGTGGTGATTGTTAAATAAATCAAAGTTAAACAGCTTATTTAATCAGTCACTACCTTGATGACACAAATAATGTGTGCCAGTATGTAATGTCATTGTATTTATTGATAGCTACTATTGAATTTCATAAATTGAGTTTTTTTCTTTTGTAGAGTGCTCAACAAAGACACCAACCTAAGAACAGAAAAAAAATTCATTGTGTTCTTCACCCAACTGTTTGAACTTTTTAAATTCTGCCCAATTTGCAAATCAGATGATGTTCTTGTTGAGATATTGCAAAATGGTTCAATGGCAAAAGTGAAAGTTAGTTGTTCCAATCAAAAATGTGGAGCAGCCACAACATGGAATAGTCAACCAGTCATGACTGGGACTTCCATTCCTGCTGGAAATTTGCTATTGCCATTTGCTATTTTTACTGCTGGAACCTCTGCCACAAAGGTGATCAGAGTTCTAAAGCATGAAATGACATAAAAATGAAAGGCCATAAAAATATAATGAACTGTCCAAAAAACCGAAAGTAACCAGTTTTTTAGGACCTGGTGGTATGAGCCCAGTTAGTTGGGATTCAGTGAAGTGTGAATTGACTGCATGGAAAGAATAAAGAGAAAGGAATTGTAATTTTGTATGTTTTGTATAACAAGTATAAGTGTGAATCGAAGATGCAATATATCAAGAGTGGCTTAAATCATTCCACACTTTACTGAAACCTCTACTAGCTGGGCTCATGCAAACAACTCCTAAAATGATATATAATGTTATGTTATTTTACAGATTGTCCTCTTCATACCCTGCAAACTGTTCATTTTTTTTAAATTAAAAGTTTTTCGAATAACATGGTAAGCACAAGCTGGAAGTGGAATTCTTTTGTCTCAAAGAATGCCATGTACCATTCTTGTAAATTGTCTATATGCAGCAACTCGAAAAAACCTGAAAAGGCATAATACACAAGGCCATTAAAACAGGTTGGAGTCCATAAAATACAAATTTTGCAAGTGTGCATTCATAGATAACCCAGACAGAAGCATTTAACTATTAATTCTAACAAACCTTTGCTCCAAGAATCCTTTATGATATCTAACTCCATCTCGTCTTTGGTAAAGATTGGCAGCTAAATTTAATGCCCATCGATTGAGGCAAATGGCATCAAATCCTTGATGCTCTGTTATGCATTTTGGCTGCCTTCCTAATTCGGATACCACCATATGATCTTGCATTTCAATCATGCAATTGGCAATTTCGTGGCAGCATCTACATTCTTTTGGATTAACTAAGAGAGGAACACGGCAGTTACCACAATTGCACCTACGAAAGTTATCTGTCAAAAGCTTCGGCAACAATAAATAAACAAATTTTCCAACTTTTCTTACCAAGAATCAAGAGGAACTTCATTTTGCATTCTGCGTTCGAGATCTTCTTTTTGGCGTCTTTCTTCTTCTGTCTCTCTAATATAGTTTTCTAACCACTCTTCATCTGCAAGTGGTTCGTTTTCATACGCTTCAGCTTGGCCATTCTCAAAATCGTCATCGGTGTTTCGGAGCGCATTTGATGACGATTGATCTTCGTCTTCTAAATCGAATTCCCGACTGTTCAATTCAATATTTTTCGCTGTTGTTGCTGTACTCGACTCAGAATCAGATGTGGACATGTTTCGTACAATTTTTATATTAATTTCAAAGCAATATATAAAGAATTGTTATTTCACACTATGTTGTTTTGTATGCAGCGCATTCATACGTTCCTTAAATGACGTCACAAACCTCTCGTTTTAAGTCCCCTCAGCGGCGCGGAAATTTCTCAAAAGCAAGCTAATTCAAACCGCAAAAAAAACTTTGTTTTTTCTTTTTTTACGAAATTTTTTTCGAAATCATATTTTCCACAGTCTAAACTTTTAAAATTTCAACGAATTTGGAAAGACTGTATGTGCACTTTAAGAGAAGAGTTGTAATTCTTTACTAGCCTTAAGTCCCGTGTTAACAAACCATTTCTTAATATATGTGTATACATGGTTTGGATTATCATTCTGTCTGTGGATGACTTTGAAATAAATCTAAAATTTACAGTTCACTTCACGTCTTGTTTTGATTCACATTTTTACATCTCAAGATATCTTGTTTCTTCAGAATTTGTTTTTTACTTAACTCTTAAAGAGTACTCTATAGTCATATTTATGTCAATGTGGTAATGTATGTTAGTGCAATCAGACTAAGTTACACAACATATTTGCAATAAGAATTTTCTTTTAATGAAGTTTTGAGAAAAAAAACAATATATAATCTTTTTGTATTTCTGATAAAGATAACTAAATGACAAAAAAAAAATATATATAAAATTTATTTTCTTGTAATGTTTATTGTACAGTTGCTGCATGTCTTAACTCTAAAGTAACTTAATCTGTAGTATTTTGTTAAAACTATCTTCCGCATTCTAAAATTTAGAACTCTGAGTAATACCCATTTAGAATGAGCGAAATTAAACTTCGAAGTTCGAATATCTTGAAAAAAAACATGTCTTAACTCTAAAGTAACTTAATCTGTAGTATTTTGTTAAAACTATCAATTAGGCCAATAATTTCTATGTTAATTATTTGCATATCAATTAATCCAATTTTTAATCTCATACAAAATTTAGATCGGCAGCATTTAAAAATTGTTGAATTCTGTCAGTGTATTAAGGATGCTGAAAAACTAATTAAACTCCAGCTGTGGCCAGGTTCATCTTCTAAACCCAAAATTGCATTTCACTTTGACTTCATGGATTTTGCTGAAAAATTCTTGCTCGAGAGCCATGTATCCTTGCACAAATTTTGCAGCACTGTTGAAGTTGAATATCCTGAAATGCTACGTTGACTGGTATGTATTTCTCATAAACCTGAATTGTGTACCCATATGATAGTCTACCCATGAAATAGTGGAAATAGATGGGTTGTACTTTGCAAAAAATTTTATTGAATCACTGTTATTTACAAACAACATAAATAATGCGTATGTGCCTCAAATAAGCAAGAGCACATTCAAATTGCACATGAAGTTTCCTTTGCTGTTATGACTTTGTATTCAACCTTATTTTATTTTTGAAACAAATGCACAAGTTTACTAGGTGTTCATTTTATTCTTGTTAAGGTCAAAAACATATATAATGTGTTAAACAATGGATCATTCGATGAATACAGGTGTTATATGTTATAAAACAAAAGTCTATTTACAGTTATTGTAGACCTAATAGTTAGATTATATGTGTAGAGTAGTACAGTCTAACCCGTTTTAAGTACACACCATTGGACAACAGACTAGTGTTTTGACTGGCTTAATGAAAGTGTCAGCTTGATTAAGGTTTCATCATTATACTTCCATTATTACTAGCTATATGAGATAAGTTTTGGATTTTACACAGTATCTGCTTAGTACAGGGTCATTTGATACAAGAGGTTTGACTGTATATATTATATCATTTAAGAATTTGATTTTTTTGTCAGATATTTCAAACACCAAGTCAGATCATTAAAGTTCATACAGAAAGACCAGATTGATTATAGAAATTGCCCTCTTTGCCCACAATTCAGTATTTGATTTCTTTTTTTCTACTATTTGCTTTGTGAACTATTTTAAATTATATGTTTTTTGTCACATATATTATCAGAACATTTAAAGTTGTTGTGAAATATGAAGTGTTACATGTTTACCATAAAATTCGTTTCATTTTATTAAAGAGCTTTGTTTGCTTTAGACTGGTGAGTTAGGTGTGGCCATTCATTCCATGGATGCTTGCTTTGGTTTAACTCGCAAAAAGTTGGCAGGGAATAGTTTTGCCGTCCCAAACCATGGCTGCCTTAAGTTTGCTGATCAGGATGAAGTAGATGATTTTGTTGATCAATATAGCAAGTCTAATAACAAAGTAGGAGAGGTAATTATTGCATGATGAAGGACTTTAAAACCTTTTCAAAATTATTCTGTGAAGGAGGGGGAGTGAATAGTTTGAAAACAAACTTTAAAAGCAATGGCAAAGCCAGCACTTTTTTACTTTTACATTGCAATATTTTTGTATTCAATCACTGGAAAAACAATGAATGGATTTGATTTTCTAAAGAAATTATTAATAATTTTGCTGACAAATTTGCATTGTAAGAGTAAAAGATTGGGCAGGCTTCGCCCCTGAGAAAAGTGGGTCTATGCTTCATGCAGGTCCATGGGCCTTGATACATACGTAAGTAGCTACGTGGATGGTCTATGACTTGATTGTGTAAACTGTCATGTTTATTTTTACAGTAATAAAACAATTGTTATATATGCGCTAATCTATAATGTGCTCCACCTTATTTTAGAGTTGTCAGATATTTAAGGCAGGAGAAGTTACAGAAGCACTTCACTCCAAAGGAAAAAATCAACTTTTTGATGAAAAATGAGTGTTTGGTAGTTGTTGCAGTCGGCATTCACACCTTGGACGATTTTTCAGCACTAAATATGGGGAAAGGTTAGTGTCTTAGCCTTGGTTTGCACGTAATTATCAATATTCTTGATCTTTGATGAGGTAGTATGGAGAACAAATCGTCGGGTTATAATTTCTTTTCCTGTGTCAATTTTGAAATAAAGGGACAAAGGACAAAACGATTCTGTGCTAACGCGATCTATTATTACCCTTTAATAATATTTAGTGTCTTATTATTAATATTCAGAATTTCGTATACGCTGTTCCTAATCCAAAGCATTTTAAAAGATGCTGACCAAAGTCCTGGTGTTGATTTAAAAATAATGTATGATATTGGATGTGTATTATCATCACATTTAAAGGTATCTTAATGTTGTATGTATGATGTGGGACAAGTTCATTCACCAACTAAACTTTGAATAAATTGGTACCGTTCTAGGCAAACAAGAGGCATGACATTTTGTCAAAAGTGTCAATTTCGGTGCCGATATTTCATTGTTATGGACACTAGGCTTCATGCCAGGTAATGAATAAAGCTTTGTACCTGGTAATGACAGGGATGGATTAAGAGGCGGGATAGCGGAGGAATGTGCTCTCCTCCAACCGTGATTAGTGGAGATGGATGAGGAGTAGCATTTTCCCTAAGAAATTTATGTATATCAAACCATCAAGCGATCGTAATTGGGGTTTATGGAGCACAATTTCAAAAATCTCCAATCATTGTATATAAGTAACAAAATTTAACGAAAAATGTCTTGCATGCTACGGCAACAAGCAGCCACTAGAATCTTATCCAAACTAGAGCACCCCTTCCCTCCAGAAAAGTACATCCCTGGGTAATGATGTAGCGATTGAAGGAGACAATCTTTTCTGCTCTGGTTTCTTCCTTGATTAAAAGCCCCCGTAGGTAAAATATTATTTTTTAATGTCTTCAAAAAAACAGGTCAAATTCAGTCCTAGAAGGCTCGATGGTTTTGGTCTTACAGATGGTGAGGCTATTGAAAGGCTCTGGGCTTACCTTCGTGGGTTCTCTGCAATTACTAAGGAGATGTCTGCCAGTAGAAGAGTAGATCTTTTGACAGACGCGCTTCTTCAGTTATCTCGAAGAAATTTTAGCAATGCAGGTGCTTGAATATTGTCATTGCTTTATGTGTAACTATGCGTTGACACAATGAATATGTTTTTATTTGTTTGTTGCGCCTTAATTGTTTTAATTTTTTGTATATGATTTGTTTCAGGAAAATCGTTAACGTCGAAGCTTAAAAAATGTCTACAACTTAAAATTAAAACGCAACAAGAAATGAAGAATTTATTTAGCGAACTACCTGGTAAGTAGTTCTGGTAGGTTAGAAATTTCTTATGTTTTCTGTGGCCGAAAAGTATTTAAGATTTCTTTTTGCCTAACCAAACTCTCAATTCAATTTGCATCCAAGGAAATACGAATTTATTTTGTTTGTTAGTGACGTACGATCCTGAAATTGTTTGTCAGTGGGAGGCCAAAGAGAAGGAAATTATGTCAAGAGTCTACCCAGGTACATAATGTCATTCATGGCAAATAGTTTCATTCTTAACAATTCAGTCTGTAGGATTTAAAGACGTACTTTTTAAATACAGAACATAAAGAAACCACGGAGAACTGGAAAGTGACGTACGTTCAAAAGCTACTGCATTTTAAACAACTAAGGTAGGTTTTTTAATGTACTAAACTGGCTATTTCTCTATAATACATGCCTATAGACGTTTTAATATTTCTTTTGAGCCTAATTGGTGAATTATTAAATTCTTAGTGCTACATTATTCGGATGTTTTGAAGAAAACCAGGAGATAACATCTGAAGATTACTCAATTGATCAGATGTCGAAAAAACTATACCAGTATGTATAAATGTGTCAAAGCAATATTTTGCTTTAAAGTTTTTTTTACATACGCGCAAAATTTATGTAAACAGGTTTCGAAAGATTTTAAAAGATATTGAACGAAAGCATTCTGTAAAAGAAAGATGGAAACCTGGTCATCCAAATTTTGACGTCGTTGCATTACAAGTCATACAAAGAAAACGAAAGATACTATCGGAGCTTTATAGACTTTCCATAGAAAGGCATTTCTTAATAACATTGAGAAAGAAGTATGCAGGTACTGTAATGCACTGTATATTTCGAAACTTGTAAATGTTAATTTTGTATTCCTTTACTTGTTTAGATGGTCAGAAAATTGCCACTCGCTTGTCCAGGCAAATCACCAAGATCACGAACAAGATGAAATTAACAATTGAGAAACACAATGCTGCCATTGATTCTCTTCGTGATTTTATAAACAGTTTACCCGATCGTCTGACATTTGACAAAGCGAAAGATCCTACATCAGACCTTTATGAGGGATTTGAGTCTGGTGAGGATGACATTCTAGGGGAAGCCTCGGTCCCAGTATACACAAAGAGGAAGGCTATTGAAATGTACTTAATCCTAAAACGATGTGACGAGGAAGAGAAACTTTTAAACTTGGAAATAGAAAGGCTTCTATTGTATTACACCAATCTTAGCTCGAAAATTGATGAAGCACTTGCCGATATTGGTGATTTGAGCAGCGATGAATTCATGCTTGGTTCAAAGCATGAACTGATAAGATTTAAAACCAAATTGCGGAATGAGTTGTTCAGCTTGAAGAAAAGTTTTGAGCTTCCACTTGGAGAAACTTTTCTTCTCCATGCTGAGATTGTCAACTTAACCAATGATGTCAACATTCCCAATGAATCTGAAAGCTCACCGTGAGGAATCCGATACTGAAGATGAAAACATCGAAGAGCTCTAGAAGTGGACAGTATTGAATAGACGACATAGCTACTATTCGTAAACTAATAGCTACTTTTTATGTACTTACTATGTAATTTAGTTGTTCACGTATCTAGTATAACTGATATCACGCAAACATTTGGTTTTGTGACGTCATGTTAGTGCACAGTCATTTTCTCTTCTTCTGTACAACACCGGAAGTTTTGACCCGTCGTTTAATTGTGAGAGAACTATGTTCTTTATTATTTATCAATGTCCTACAAGTAAGAGTTTATATGCGACATATATCCCAACCAATTAGCTCTGTCTGCCCAACCCAATTCATCTAAAATTGTGAGCATTCACATTATATAAAATAGCCGAGACGTATCCAAAGCTTTGTCAGTTGATCAACGGGGTCTGGGCGAGTTTTTGAAAACACCGAATTTCATGATTTGTCCGTCTAAATCATCCAATTTGTCTTTTAACGTCACAAGCCTTCCCATGTTTCATATTTTGCTCAAGATTAACTCCAAACAGATGACTAACTTTACCGATGTTCAAGCTAACGAAACGATGCTGACGAGAGAGTGCGGTCTGGTTCGGCACCCTTGATGGCACTGCCGCTGTAAGAGGTAAATGAGAAATGAATCCGAACACGTGTTTGGATTGAAATAATATAAAACTCAAAATTATTAATCTACGTTACTGAGCACCATTTCACAGAACACGTAGCCATTTTACAGATCGAACACTCTTGTCATGTTGCACGCCTACCGTAATCATTGCACGTATTACGTATCACGCATTCTTGCCGTGAGCTTCAAATATTCTCTACGCAATACCAACCCTCCCTACAATCACATTCTAAAGTAACATTCTGATGTTAAGAAAAGGACGTGATCGGTTTTTTTGGGGTTGTTTTTATTATAAGATGCTACATACTCTGCTACTAATAAGGTCCATGCTATAAGGGTCGTTGTACTAACTAAAAAAATCAATATTTTATTTGAAACATAATTTCTTAAAAAATTTAAAGCCACAACTGTCAACTATTTGCTATAACAAAACATTGCTACTGGCTACTGCATACTTTTGTGTATCAATCACTTATGCTCGATGATATTGGATTATGCGGTGCTGTTTATTTCACAAAAAGCACCGTAAAGTGAAAATGTCGACGCAGCGGAATTCTCGAAATGTTAAAAGTGGAATTCATTTATGATATATATGTTGCTTTATTTTGAGTGTTCGTTGGTACCGTAAATGAATGGTGCAATGCATATTTTACCAATGCAATTACGCGTGCAATACATATGTTGGTAGACTCTTTTTTTCCTTTGTTTTATTTGAATGTGTATTTGCTGTGGAGTACAACCGCTATCCCCCTATCCCCCTATCCCTATCCGCAATTTAGGACATTGTTCTCTCCGGGTACGATTCTTATCATATTAAAGAGTGGCATTTACAAATCAACAAATTCATTTGATTCTGAAGATGAAATGAAACAGAATTACGTCGAACTTGAACGCTCCCAGGATGAACTGACTGTCGAGAAGAACGCGCTTCTTGAAAAGATCAACGATGGGGAAAACGATATAAACAAAGAACGAATTACATCGCTCAATGATGAACTTAAAGTAAAATGTGACCGAATTGCTGAACTTGAGAAACAAGAAGTGCAGCTACAGCTGAAAGATGCAAAGATTTGCGAACTAACAATGGAGCTTGACCTACAACAAAGTGAGTTTTAACGAGGGCCATAAGGCTAATTTTATTATTTACGTAATTATTTACTCGTATTTATTGTATAAAGGCAGTTTCATGTTTAGGTTTTAATCATACTTGTGAGTTGTCTACTCATGTATACAGTTTTCTGTGTTTCACTTCCTGTATCCTACAATGCATTGCGTTCCGCTTTGTTTATTTTTCTTAGACCCGTCTACACGTATCCGGATTCGTTTGTATCCGCAAAAATTTTGTTGCGGATTCAAAACTTTACGCGTCCACACGTATGCGAACTCGGTGCGTTTTTGTGCGTCCACACGTAGCCGCGAAAACGATACAAATACGCAATTATTGCTTACAGAGCATGCGCTGTTACGAATAATGAGCACGCAATATTTTTGACTAGAGATTGCTTCGATCATACGCAGGGTTGTTAGTTTGGCCTTTTTGAGGCCAAATAACTCAATTTTGGCCTTTTTTTTCTTTCTTTGGCCTCAAAATTTTTTTTTGGCTATTTGGCTACTTTTTGGCCTCTTTTTACTCAAACAATTTTTTTAAAATTTTTATTGAGCTTTATTTGTAAAAATCTCTTAAATGTACAAAATGCGATGGAAATACAACTAAAAATGATCATAAGGATCAAATTGAGCATTGAATTGTTTTCATCCAATCACAGCTAAGTATAATTCAGCCAATTGTCATGCAATTTAACCAGCTAATCACAAGCAAGCACACAGCTTTGTCTTCGTAGACGTCCGACATCTAGCTATAAATAGCACGTTCGAGCACTACTAATACTAGTTAAGACTGATAAAAACGTTATTCGTTGCAATATTATGGCATCAAAATGGAAAGGAGCGTATGATAGCGGAAGAAAATATAACAAGTCTTGGGAAAGTAAATTTAGCTGGCTCACAAAAGCTTCAGACGGAAGTGAAGATGCTTTTTTGTAAATTGTGCCGTGCCACAATCAGACCCAAACAAGCAAACTTAACCAAACACGAAAAAACTGATAAACACATCAAACACATTAAAGTATCTACTACTACAAGGCCCATCCAAGTCGTACGTGTCCCAAAAGTTGCAGAAGAAGTAAAGGTCGCCGAGATCGAGCTAGCTGTTACAATGGCTTGCCATTCGGCAATCTTAACCATGGATCATCTCGGAGGGATAATAGCCCGAAATGCTCATGGAAGCAAACTTGAGAACATTAAAATGCATAGAAACAAATGCTCAAAACTATTGACCAAAGTTATAAGTCCAGCGTTGAAGGAACAACTGATTGCTGATGTCCAGGGTAAGAAGTTTTCGTTAATTGTGGATGAATCTACTGATATTTCCACATCGAAGCAGGTCTGCATTATCGTAAGGTATTTCAGCGAAGTTGAAAATAAGATCGTTACAGCGTTTGTTGACCTGGTTCCTGTTGTCCACACTTCAGGTGCATGGTTGGGGAACACAATTCGCTGTGGACAAGAATAGCTGCTGTCGCTCCTCATTGCATCAAGATGACATGTATTTGCCATTCGTTGTCTCTTTGTGTTCAGCATGCATTTGAGAAACTTCCGTCGAGTGTAGGATTTCTTCTGGCAGAAATTCCGAAATGGTTTTCAAAGAGCGCTACTAGAAGAGAAGCATACAAGACGCTCTACGAAGTGATGAATCCAGATGATGTGCAAGATGCACCGTTTGAGAAGTACTCAACTACGAGGTGGCTTGTGAGAGGAAAAGTTATATTTCGCATTCTCACAAATTGGTTTGAGCTGCAAGCTTACTTCCGAACAGCACAACCAGAGACGACGCAGGCAGCAAGATTCAAGGCTCGTATTCTTCTGGACATGCTCAATGATCCAGTCCTATATCTTTATTTCCATTTCGTTTCTCCTCTGGTCACAGAATTCGACAGGGTGAATGCCTTCTTCCAGGCAACTGATGGTGATCCAGAAGAAATGTTCACGGAACTAAATGTACACCATAAAAGTTTATATGGTAGAGTTTTCGACCACCAAGGAAAATATCTAGCCATTTATGAAGTTGACTTTGGTGGAAAGTTCTTGTCAGAAGCAAAGAAATACATTTCTTCCCAACAAGACAAACGACGTGCTGAAGCTGAAGTTTCTGAAGTGAAAAATAGGTGTCTAGAATTTCTTGTGGAAGCTGTAAATCAAGTAGAGAAACGTTTACCAGCTGTCCGGAATATCTTTAAAGGTTTAAGCGCCCTGCATCCAAGCAAAGTTCTTGATGTAACAACGAGAGCCGATTTTGAGCAACTGCCGCCTCCTAATCTACGAAAGGATCAAGATTATGCAATTGAGGAGCAGTACAGGAAGATCGTCCACCGAAATTGGAAAGAGGAACAAATTTTTAACGGCATCATACCTGATACAGTAGTTGCATTTTGGTCAAAGATAGTTCAGTTCCAAACTTCTCTTGGGGTCAAACCATTCAAGGAATTGGCAACTTACGCCTTAACCTGCCTGACAAATCCTGTAAGCAATGCAGTGGTTGAAAGAACCTTTTCCTTGGTGACATCAGTGAAGACCAAACAACGCAATAGGATGAGCTTAGAACTGCTAAATGCCATTATTCGTATTCGTTCCAGCCTACACTTTGCCGGGAACTGCTGCATTACTTTTAAGGTAACTAAGCGAATGCTTGAGCTGTTTGCCACTAAACACATGTATGAATGTAAGTAGAATAAACATTATAAGAAATATGCATAAATATTTATATAAATCTGTATATATGGAGAGCAGTAAAAATGACAACTATGCACGTCGAGATCTTATAGAAAGACAGATAAAATAGTTTATTCACTTTGTATTTTTGACATGGCCTTTTAAGCTTGTAATGCTTATCAAGAAATTTTGGACGTGTAGTTCATTTTTCTCTTCATTTCGTCAACAAGCACCTTATATATTTTGCAACAGCGAATAAATTTTCAGTCTTACGTTCTGTATTCACCTCTTCCCATATGTCCTTTGATGTGAACATTAGGCGTTGGCATCGCTAGATTTGCAATGTATGGTATATATTTATGATAAATCCATATAGACTATAAGAAGCAATTAGAAAAACTTATTAAAACCGCATGCCATAAACAGTGCGGGCTCAGAAAACAAGTTTGGCCTCTTTTGTTGCCATTTGGCCACTTTTCAAACCATATTTGGCTACAAACGAGCGCTGGAGCCTAACAACCCTGATCATACGGTAAAATGTCGAATTGTCCAACAAAAACTACTGCTTCGGGGTCATCAAAGAAAAAAAGTAAGAATGAAGCTTTTGTGTGGACAGATGATGAAGTGGACCTTCTATTAAGCGTCGTTTTAGAATATAAAATCGCGAAAACGTCAGAAAATTTCGATTGGGAAACCTGCCAGTCAAAATATGCTGACATTTTGGATCTGTTTATATCACAATATTCTTCCGCTGAAAACGCTATTCAGCTTGATAAGGAATTTCCGCATCAAGAAAATGAGCTTACAAAAGCTATTCTGACGTCCAAAATGAAAGCCATTCGCTCAAAGTTTCGCGCTGCCATCGACAGTGGAAGAAAAAGTGGCCATGGAAGAGTTGTCCTTCTCTTCTTTGATAAATGCCAGGAAATATGGGGTGGCTCGCCAGCTACAACCACGCTACAAAATGGCATTGAAACGAGTCAAATAAGTGACGAACAAGAACTTGACTTGTCATTTAGCTCTCCTTCTTCTTCCAGCACCCCTAATTCCCAACCCTACCAACAAAATATCCCTACCACAAGGTCCATCTCTCCACTGAGCAGGGAAAGTGAAACCTCAAATGAGCACGAGTGTTTGAAAGTCGATGATGAACAAGATCCAACACTAAAAGATTCAAGTTCCCTAAAGGAAAGACGAGATCTACTAAATAACAGATTAAAGAGCTACAGACAAGACAAACTTAAACAAAACTCTCTGTTGACGCTCAACTTCTTAATACTGCCAAGGAAGATATGGAAATGAAGAAAAGGATTTTTTCAAAAATGGATGATATAGACAGACAGCAGGGAGAAAACATGAAGAGGTTAACTTCAAACATGGAACAGTTGACTGGTTCCATTGTTGAAGGCTTTGCAATGCTCCGGCAAGTTATGCAACAACCACCTGCTATGTCTTCTCAATTTGTACCACCTGTACATTATCAATCTGGTATATACAACAGAATGCCGAATCATTACCAAACTAACAGGATTAGGGAGAATGAAACATTCAACAACGATTATGAACAGAATTTGCATTTTCAGCCAGATAACTTTTGAACTCTGTGAACACTAGATGAGTAATACAGCATGAAAAGGAAGATTGATTTAATGAGAATTTTAGTGCAGTAGTGTAAGAATTATAAATAAAAGCATGGTTTGCTTTTACTCACGTATAACTGTCTTAAATATTTTCTTTAATTCTTGTTTTGTTCATCATTGAATTATCTACAGCTAGAAGGTACACAGTTAATGTTGTGGAATCAGAAGTATACCTAAAATGTGGTTTGTAGCATCTTAAGTAATCAGGTCTGTGTTTGGTTAGGTAAGTTTCATAGCTGCTCCAAAGTGACTGATTTTCATTTGTTTGTAGATGTTGGCAATCTATTTTACAAATGTATAAAATTTCAATTCTCAAAATATTGTAAATAAAGAATAGAAAATGGCTTATGCACAGTTATGCCCCAATAAAGTTACTTTCAATGAGTTAAGAGAAGCCTGCTGATGTTATTTTTCATTAGGCACAAAGAAGTAAGCAAAGTATTTATTTAATTGATAATGCATAAACACAAAAACAAGTAAGTTACTGAAATGTCCATCAATATTGTGTTGATGCTGGCTCATGTTCAAGGATCAAAGAACTTTGTTAGTGTCCGTCTGATTTTCTTTCCCTCTGCTTCGTTACAGTCAGTTCTAAAGTTGTTGTTGGAAACAACTGGTTGGAAACTCTTGTCATAATCAACTGCAGCTGCAACTTTGTCTTCTCCAATTCTCTCATTATTTAATTCACAAAAATTGT